CATACTATACTATGACTTTTTTTATGATATTTTGACAACATACTATACTGTAATGTTTTTTACGCAATTTTGACGACATACTATGGAGAGAATTGTGGATGGATGAGCACAAAGGAAGTCTTACTGATTGAACTTATGCTGAGCTTCATGACATTTTTTGTGATTTTTGTGACATTTTGACGACCTACTATACTATGACGTTTTTTATGATATTTTGACGACATACTATACTATGACATTTTTAATGATATTTTGGACGAAGCACTATACTATGACATTTTTTATGATATTTGGAAGAAATACTATACTATGACGTTTTTTATGATATTCAGATGACATACTACACTATGACATTTTTAATGATATTTTGGACATCATACTATCCTATGACATTTTTTATGATATTGTGACGACATACTATACTATGACATTTTTTTATATTTTGGACAACATACTATACTATGACATTTTTTATGATATTTTGGATGACATACTATACTATGACATTTTTTATGATATTTTGATGACATACTATACTATGACATTTTTTATGATATTTTGGATGACATACTATTCTATGACATTTTTTATGATATTTTGGACAACATACTATACTATGACATTTTTATGATATTTTGACGACATACTATGCTCTCACTTTTTTTTTATGATATTCGGACAACATACTGTACTATGACATTTTTTATGATATTTGGATGAAATACTATACTGTGACATTTTTTTATGATATTTTGGACGACAAAATATACTTTGACGTTTTTTTATGATATTTTGGATGACATACTATACTATGACTTTTTTTATGATATTTTGATGACATACTATTCTATGACATTTTTAATGATATTTTGGATGACATACTATACTATGACATTTTTTATGATATTTTGGACGACATACTATACTATGACCTTTTTTTTATTATATTTTGGACAACATACTATGCTATCACATTTTTTTAATGATATTTGGACAACATACTATACTATAACATTTTTTTATGATATTTGGACAACATACTATACTATAACATTTTTTATCATATTTTGGACGATATACTATACTATGACATTTTTCATGGCATTTTGATGACATACTATGTTATGACATTCCCTATCCCCTTCAGATAATTTTCTAAGAGTAAACATGTTAGATTATTTATCAATCAGTCTGTCTTTCACTTGTCACTCAGTTATAATGTGAGTCTTCTGGAGGAGTGGCTGCGGAGCCGAGGTCTGCAGGCAGGTGGAGCTGTGGCCACACTGGAGCCTCTCATCCAGGCAGCTCAGCTGCTGCAGACTGGGAAAAAGACCGAGGCGGAAGCACAGGCTCTTGTTCAGACCTGCACTGCCCTGTCCAGCCAGCAGGTGGGTGTCTATCTGTCTGCATCTGGGTTAAAGAAAGAGCAAAGTTTAAGTGTATATAATTTTCTGTTGGTATTTGTTTCTTTAAACAGATTGTAAAGATCCTGACCCTCTACACTCCCAACAGTGACCTTGATGAAAGAGTCACACTGAACTTCATCCGAACTGTCCAGGTAGTGTCTACAGCTGCAAGGACTTCATATGTTTATTAATCTAAAGTACTGCATAACATGGGAGTGGACTCTGTCTTTGCTTTTCTAGGGGCTTCTCAAAGGTCGTTCTGACGGTCATCCTCCGCAGCTCCTCATGGATGTGAGGCGAGTGTTTCCAGTCACATTTCCCTACTTGCCACCCCCAGTCCTCCATGCTGAGCAGTTAGTCATCCCAGACTCCCTCAAGATCTCCTTTCTTCGCAGAGTCTAGAACAGGAGGCCTTGCCTCTTCAGAGAAAACATATGAATGTTAAAGCAAATTTGAGTTCCCACCACACTGGATTTTATCGTTTGAAATTTAAATAACTTCCAGGAGGTGTTGTGAGCTTGATTCCGCTCTCTGATTTGTAATGGCATTGAGATGTTTAATTATACCGTCAATTACCAGTGGATTAGTGTGTACACTGTAGATGGTCAGCGTTTATTTCAAAAATGTATATCTCAGCTAAATGGAATGAATGCTAATGAAGAATAGGAATATAAAGTGTTCCTTTAAAAAATAAAAGGTAGTAAAGAATTGTACAAAATTAGGCAGTCAGGTAAGGAATAGCAATGGTGCAGCTCTGTCTCATTACGGTTGGACAAACAAGCAATGAGACAGAGTTTTTTTCTTCATATTTTATTGGAAGCAGAAACACAATGAGACTGCAGTCCCAGTAACCTCAACCCCCAATAAGAACAACCAGAATAAAAAAAACGCAAAAAATTAGAAACATCTCGTGTATAAAAAAATTCTCATGCGAGTACTTTGTACCACTACACATCATCAGTAATACATATTTATATATTCACAAACATTTGAAAAATAGAAAACAATAATGAAATATCAAAATAAAAGAAGACAACAATCGGCAATTAACATCAAATAATTATGCGTGCTGGCACAATAAATTTTTTTCTTTTTGTTTTATTGTTCCTGTCATGCACCTTTTCTGGAAGTATGGGACCGGCGTCGCTGTGCAGCTGTCTGTGTGGCCTGGTCAGCTAGACAGAACAGATCATGCATGTCTGCCCGCTCTTTGTCTGTGTGCTTTTCATTGTGCTTCTATCCTTGTCCTTAACTTCTGTGTGCATTCCTGTCCCACATGCCAGTCCAATACCCCAACACGCAAACTAAGCCTCTGACCAAGGAGACTAAAGTATCATTGTCAACAGCAATAAATAAAGATTTTTTCGTGGCATTTCCAGCTATGTGACAGTTGTGTACCTGTTATTTAAAGTTATTAAAAGACTGTGCGATGTTTCCTTGAATAAAAAGACCGTGTGCACACCAGAGAATAAAAACATGTTTTGATTTGGTTTACATAGATAGGTAGTTTTACTTATATACCTACATGATGATCTATAATGCCAGTATAAGTCAGGAGTTGGTCGTGTATTTATTTGGCTTTCAGTCGAGCCAATTAAAGGAATACGTCAACCACAAATTGACAATTTGTATATCAAATACTCACCCTGTGCTATGTTGAATTTGTGAAGAAATGTTTTACTAGCATGCTTATGGTGAACAAAGAATCCAAAAACTGATCAAATTCTTGATGAATTAAAGTCATGATGATTCCGTGTTTGACAACAGCAAAATGGTATCAAAACATCTGTTGACAAACTCTGACAACTTGTGCAGAATAATCCAAGTCTCATTCATCCAGTCATATGCTCAGTATTTCTTACACATACGAGCACGGTCCCACACCGAAGTGATCGAAATCTGATGCTTGGGCAGTGACTAGCAGCGTCAGAAACCAAAGACAAAAGCCGTCCTTTAATGTTGGCATGATACGCGGCCAGTTGCTGTGTTTTTGTTGCCTAAACCCGACCACGTGTGTTTGTTGGTTAAGGAAAAATAACATTAATTTGCTGTGTTTTACCGGCGTAGTACATTTATTTTGAAAGAGACTGTATGTAAACATAAAATTTCCTGTGAACAAGCAAGTGTATCTTGACAGAAGAGAACTTGACATGGTGTCCCAGAACGTCAACAACCAACACACCCAGGGTACCTTGTACATCGTATGTGGACGTAGAAAGTCCATGACCAGTCCATGATCACATCAATGTGTGACGAAGTTGGAGTGAGAATGTGTTGAACTGACAGCCCTTTCCAATGGGGAACTGAACTAAAAGTGAAACATAATTAATGCTCTCTTCCAAGCCAGACTCCATTTACGAAAACAGTAATTGTACCTCTCTGAACACTGGAGCTGCTGGCCCACCACTGCCTTGATCAGTTACTCTGTTTGTGTTGTTGTGTGACTTTGGTGAATCCTAACTCACTCTTTCAAACACCAAAGTCACACAATAACACAAACAAATTAATTGCATGAGGCGGCAGTAGACCAGCCGCTCCTGTGTTCAGAGAGGTAAAATTAATGTTTTTGTCAATGGAGTCTGGCTTGAAAGAGAGCTTAAGTTTCACATTCAGTTCAGTTTCCTGTCAGAAAGGGCTCGCTGTTTGGGAAATATTGAGCATATGACTGGATAAACGAGACTCGGATTATACTGCACAAGTTGTTTTGACGTAGCTTTCCTGTTGTTAAACGTGGACCCCTATGACTTCAATTCATCATGAATATTCTCAGTTTTTGGAATATTTGTTCACCATGGAAGCATGTGAGAAAAACAAAGTGTTCTCCATGAATTCAAAGTAACACAGGGTGAGTAACTGATATAATAATTGTCTTTTGGGGGGTGAAGTATTCCTTTAAATTACCAGATTTGTACTATTTGCTTGTTGTTCATCTCCAGTGTGCACATTGTCTCCCTATATCTTTCCATAATAGCTACATATCCAGATTGGGCACCCACACACACACATAAGCTCCAACTGCCCAGTCACCCAGAGCAAAAAATTCAAGTCTACAAAAGAGCAGCAAACTTCACTTCACATATTCTGACATGTGTTTGTTACATCCGAGCTATTTACAATGCCCAACGACAACAATCGATCTCTCCGATGCACATCATTTTCCTCAGCGCTGAAAAGCTGTACAAACAAATTTCAGTCTCTAATCAGCTCTACTACAGCTGTGATATTTGGCCCATTACGATAGAGACAGCATGTACAACATATCAGACAAACACTTGTGCTGATATAATAAGAATAATCCACAATGTAAACATTATAAGACTGCTTCAAAAATGACTCATCTACATAGATTTTTATAGATTAGATGCATAGAGTTCAGTTCTTACACCTTGTTCAAAAGAGGGGGCCTGTTAAATTATTCATTTACGATTAAGTGCTTTGGGGGGAACTTAAAGAAAGAGGCAGAAATAGAAAAAAACAAAATACCCTGTCATTATTAAACGTTCTTTTTTCGCCTGGATGCTTTTTTTTTGTTTACAACTAACATACGCACCTCAACAGATAAATAAACCAATCAATCTTTTAAAAAAAGGGGCATTCATGAAAATAGAAGTTGAATTAAGAGACATGCTGGACAGTCAATAGTCACTTCAAAACATTTAGTTTCACATGAAATCAACTCTAGATTAAAGAAATGATTTCACTGTAGGATGATCTGAAGCCTTGATGTGTATTTCCTGTCATTCCATAAACATTTACTGAAAATAAAATAAAAATATCTGAGTATAAACGTGTTATTATGGGTGCATTAAAGACCCTGTGCTTCTAAAATCTTCACACTACATCTCTACGAAGCTGTAGGCCCTCTTTTAAATGTCAGCGCCAGACCTGGTGTGGACCTGGATCTGCAGCCCTTTAGCAGAGGTCTGACTTTTCTGTATCAGAGATCAGGGTTACAGCACCTGCAGCTGGATCATTGGAGATCATGGGTGGTAAATCATTACTGATTTTTGCTCTCCCTGGGGTGCAGCGTGTGTGGTTTTGTAAGATATTTTTGCCTCAGAGCATGTTGCTTTTGCAAAATAGGATCTCAGGTTTCCATGATCTCCTCACATGCAGGTTTTGATTTGGCAATTTGTAAGAAAAGGAAGTGGCAGTTTTTCTCCCTCTGTCGCGCACCTCTCACACACCCAGTACAGGGCTGTTGGGAATGTTTGCAGTAACAACAAAAACGATGGAAATAACCATCATAAGATATAAGATGCATCCTCCCCAGAGTAAAAGACACTTTGAAAATCCTCCAGAATCTAATCTGAATATGAACACCCCCCTCTGTGTGATGTTCGTCGCTTGTGATGGCTTTCTGTGATTACATTTGCAGGTAACAGGCAACACGGGCGGCTACATGAGGTCGACATTAGAACGATCTTACAAACACACTCGCGCATTAGTTATGTATACATTCACACTTGGACATTCTCACACACATATACTCTGATGAATCACAGTGCTTGAAGGCGTGTTTTCATCAGATTACTCTCTATACTGTCGCTATATAGGAGACAGACACACCATACGAGGGTCAACAAGACAGAAGGCATTGAGGGTGTCAGGCAGTGTGCTCTGTTACAGGGTAGACGGACATAAAGACAGACGAGGACAATCTTTCAAGGACCACACGTCCATCGAATAATCCTGTATATAACTTTACATATGTCCTTCGTATATTATATATTATATGATATATAGAATTATTTAAATATAAATATAATTTGGAAGAGAGCAGTAAATAAATATTAAAATTATCTTAACTAAATAGTGCTTTGTTCCCCGCCCGATATCTGGAATGTTTGAGGCCTTGCAGCCGTTGTTGTTGTTGTTAATGAGTCAGTTGGACAGTTGGTCCTGTTGTGCTTAGGGCTGGTCTTGGCATATTTCAGCGATTATCTGTTGGCACTTGCCATCCCTTCTCTGAGCGGGTGAAGGCCAGGGAGGGGACGAGAGGAAGCCAAAATATTAAAGGCTACAAAATATTTCTCACCTTAACCAGTCAAACGAGGTGTGGGTGTGTATGTGTGTGTGTGTGTGTGTGTGTGTGTGCACGTGCGTGTGCGTGCGTGCGTGCTTGTAATGGCATGACTTACCTCTTCGGACAGAGGAAAGTAGATATATGCTCTGTGATTAAACTCTATATACTGTTCGTCAAAAGGATGGCTGATATAATATCTGCAGTGATAGAGATACACTGGTGCTTTTTGAAGAAGATTAGTGATGACTTGTTTAGCACTTTCCACTGAAATGAATGTATTTACAGCACTGGATGTGTGGTGTCTTATCTGTGCTTTTACAACACTGGATCATCAGGGCAGTGGCTAGCGGTGGCTCCTGAGAGCTCCGGGGCAGTAGGTGGCAAAGTCTGATTGAGCTTCAGACGGGTCATTTTAAATTTCTGTCATGTCTCTTAGCTGCGGCCCTCTTCTGCAGAGCGCTGGTCCGACTTGAGCTTGACGAACTCCTTGGCCACGTCGTCGTTGTTGCGTTGGGAGAGGATACGCAGGACAGTGAGGCCCGTCTCGTCCATGTGGATGCGTTTACCTAGTGGTAGCCAGCAGGCGACGCTGCCCTTAGAGGCTACATCCTTCAGCTGCAGGACAGCCATGCCCACGGTGCGGTCCTCTCGCGCGAAGCAGTAGTCCTTCACACACACCTGCAGCTCATAGCACTCAGGACCCACCTCGCTACTCAGGGTGCTGCAGTGGAGAGGAGGGAGTTAACGACAATCTGTTCACACATTTGCTACAACCTTAAAACATAACAGTCATCCTCAGGATGATTACTCACAAAGTGAAGGTTTCATTGTATTTGGGAGCCCAACTGTTGTTCTTCGACTTGGTGGCGTACTTCCTCTTCTTGTCGCTGAGGTGAGGGCCGATGATATACACCTCCACAAATGGCCGGAATATTCCCTGCGTCTGCCACCTCAGGTCATTGGCAGCCACCACTGACACAGAGAGAGATGGAGGAAAAGAGAGTGGGAAGGTGTGGGTGAGAGAAAGAGAGAATTTAGAGAGATTCATGTGGAGAAAATGTGTGAAAATGTGAAGCGGTGAGAAAAATTCAGAACAAGAAAATACTGGCTCTCCCTCAGGTCTCATTTTCAGTTCCTTGTTAGGAAAGTGACTGGGGAGAATTGGGATTTTATTTTATTGCAAAGTCATATTTTTCTTTGGCAGCTGAAAAGCAGCCGAGCACTGGCTTCTATGCCTCTGCCTTAACATGGCAATATCATGCATCCATATGACTTTCTGCTGCACAGGCGTGTGCCTTTGGCATTGAGACAATGAAACGTATTAGTAAGTGACGCATGCCTCCAGCTGTCTCTCAAACTCTCCATCTGGTGTAGCCAGGACATAGTATGTCAGTATGTCATGGTTTATCATGTAACAAAATAAGTCATGAAAGTGTCACAGTGTATTAAGTCATAAATAAATATCATAGTATTGAACATAACACCATAAAAATGTCATAGTATTGTACAGCACCTCTGATTCACAGGTTTTGTTTGAAAATGTTTTAAAAGTTTAACTGTTGAGTCGCAGAAGATGTAAATGGAAAATGGCTCCCCCCCAATGTAAAATGGTGATGACGGCCCTGTGCTAGCTTTTCCTAGAGATTTCAACCCTATCACATGGTCTTCATCAGTATATCAAGTTTAATCAGCTGTCATCGAAGCTGTTGATTTCACCCAAAGGACTTTAAGATAGGTATAGTTTCCTTTACCTTTCACTGTGACCTTGTGCTCTCCAGTGTTGGGGTGAGTAAAGATCTCCACGTGGATGGACACCTCTCCCACGGCATCGTCCACTCCAGATCCTAACAGGACAAACAGAGAGTGAGTGGCATGTTAATGCCGCTGAATGCGGAAACATGGACTCTTGGTACTCCTATTACAGACCAAACACTCACACAAACCACCATGCCCAAATTGTCCTCCTCATTTTGAAAGGTTACAGACCAATTCCATTTCAATTTTAGAAACTGACCATTGAAATGGATTTGACTGTAACCTTTTGGATATAACACAGAATACTGACTAGGCAAACACTTCTTGATACTAAACTAATCACCGTGTAACAGGAGGACTTAATATAAGACATAGTGATCTGCTTGTGCATATGTTGTGGTCTGAAGTGGACAATCAGACAGAGCTGCTATGAGTGGGCAGAAGTTTTTAAAATAGGTAGTACTGCCATTATCTGTAATGCAGTATGACTATAATACAGTGACAAACATCTTGCTCTAGTTTGGTACTGACCTGAAATGACTGTATTAATTCCTCCAGTCAGGCGTTCTGCATAATGATTAGATACTGACTGAATAGCCTTTGTACAGATTCAGCAACTGAGAGGTAATAATTTGTATCCAGCGAGGACAGTAATTTGTGCCCACTCATAGACGCAAGTTGTCTGTCAGGATGCAGGGTGGTTAGTAAGAGGCAGAGAAGAAGACAGGAGAAGAAGAAGAGGAAGAAGGAGAAGGTCAACTGACAGTGTGGTTCCCCCGACAGATCAGGTCAGGACATGCTCAGATGGATCTAGACAGGTGGACACACCCATTCCTTGGTAAAGACTTTTACCCAAGCATGGCAAGAGGAGGGAGTTAGAAAGGTGGAAGGAGTTTGCAGAGAGAGAGAAGTGGCTCAGCCTCTCAGATCTGTCGGTGGAGGACGGCAATACTGATACCCAGCTCTCTAAGTAAAGCTGTGTTGTGTGAAGAGTGTCTGCAGGACTCAAATTCAACTTCCAGATAAACATTTTTCAAATATATTCTAATCTATTTACCTTATATTGTCATTTTGTTTCTCCACAATGTATTTTATTATAGCTGTATAGAACATTATTACATGCCTTTTCATCCTGGAAGCAAATTTGCTTAATATAGCAAAGGCATGACCCTCCCTACCCTGCCTTACTCTGCCTCTGACTGGCTTACCCTGACATACTACCCATAACCTTAACCAATCTTACTCCTATTGCCAAAACCAGAGTCTTGCGTCCGGTAGGTGGTATTTTATGTCCAGGTTTGGTTCTGGGTTAAACAAAGAACATGGAGGTTGGATTGGAATAATAATATTTCACTTTAATTCTTCCACATTTTAAACCTCTGACTGCTGAAATTGTGTGTGGTTCAGGGTCAGGCTGTGGATCTTGTGTCAGTGGGTTCGATCGGATTGTAGAACGAATTGGTCATGTCTGTGGGTGGTTGGGCTGGGGCGGTAGTGCATATCCCAGATGCAGGTTTGGAAGCAGGTCTAGGAAATTATGTCCGTGCAGGACTCTAGCCTAAACCTATAACCAACCCAACCAATGAAGGCAATGAGTACTAGCCAATCAGATGGACAGTAGGGTGGCTCATGTCTTCACTATCTAGAAAATGGGGAATTCGTGTCCTGGAAGTGAGATTCAGGGGCTTCGTCAGCTAAACATTCTTTAAAGGCGCTGTATTTAAGAATGTGGCCAAAATGGTTACTGCACTCAAATTCAAAATACTGTCGTGAGTCATGTTCGCCCCCCCTCCCCTACAGATTCTAGGTAGATTTGCTGGAGACTGATTTGTTTGCCCACGGGTGGCTGCCATGGCAGGGCCGTGTCGCCGCGTCCTTGATCTTCGGTTTTCCAGTGGACCGTTCGAGCAAGTCCGGCTTCTCTGCTGCTAACGCTGCTGCTGGGATACAGCTGAGGAGGAGCCGGCTGCTAATGCGTGACTGGTAGACGGCAGTGGGTGGCGCAACAGGCCAAAACACAAATTCAAAACATAAACATGATTTGCGGACCGTAAATTTTTTTTTTAAATGCGAATATTCTGGCCGTACTATTGTTGTCGGTGAGATCAGTATGTCATATGAACATTATTCCTTAGTCTCTGTGACATATTAGGAGGATTTTACGAGTATTTGCTTTAAATTTCTTACATATAGCTCCTTTAAACTGTACTCCAGCATAGTGTAACAAAATAGCTTTAAGATTAGCAATGCCATTTACAAGAAATTCCTATCCTACGTATGTTATGTAACTTAAAAATAGTAACTTCTAACACTTTGAGCCTCTTTTAAAATTGCAGGAGTTAAAATAAGTCACCCTCAGCATTTGTTGTGTCCTGGTTTCAGAATGATGATGAAAGTTTGAGAACAACTAGGGACAAACAGGATGAACGGCCACAGGATGAGTTTTCCTTGGCAACTATCATATTTTTTTTATATTGTTCAGATTTTCAGGCATTCTATTATCTGAAATAATGTGGAAAAAATAGTGCAGGGGAGCATGTCCCCAGGCCCCCTACGTTTGTGCTAAGCACAGAGTGTTGACATCTTGCTACACCCCTGGTGGGATCTGTCTTATGTTGTTCTTCCTGAGGTTTCCTACTTCTCTTACTAATTAAAGTTTTCTTTGACAAAATGAAAGTCTAAACATCGGTGCTCTGTTGCATGGTGTGCAGGGTGTAAAGCCATCTGAGGCAAACTTTACTTCTAATATTCTAATCAATGTAACAAGGATTACAAATCGTTAAAGTCAGAGATTTCTTTGCATTTTAACCCCAAACAGATTTGAGGATCACCCTCCATCCAAGACCTGTGGCCATCATGTCTTCGGTTTCTCGGCTGCATGCTTCTAGCTGTAAGACTTTTTTAGGCGAAAGACGAAAGAAGACAGCAATGGCTCCAACTCTTTTGTCTGGGAGGGAGATGGTGGACAAATCTCTGCTCAGTGTCTCTGTGTGGTTTTTGTGCTGCATGTGAACAAGTGGTTAAGATCCACATACAACTCCAGAAGGATACGGCGACAGATGGACATTAATTTTCAATGTTTTAATTAGTGTCTTCACTTTGTCAACGGTATCTTTGTGGCGACGACCAGCAGCCTGTGTGTGTGTGTGTGTGTGTGTGTGTGTGTGTGTTTTCAACCAGCCACCCACTAAACAAGGTGTCTGTGGGAGTTAGACGGCAGAGTGTTCCTGGCATGCAGCTCTCTGCAGCTCTCCAGGGAGCATTATGGGATTGTTGGTCTCACTGCCAGCAGGACCAAAGAGAGCAGCAGTCATCCATCTGGCCTTGTCTACTCTATGGAGGACGCCAATAAAAGATGAGAAAGAAACTTTGCTGGCTGGGAGGCAGGAGGATGTTGCCAAGAAAACACAGGCTTTTCTTCCACAATAAACACTGCAATCAGAGGTGCAGATTTTTCTACCATATTGCAAATCATCACCAGAATAGACATTAAATCTCAAACTTGTACAGTGACTGCATCAAAGCATCACCCGTGTTCACTGCATGTTCACAAATGACCTTTGATTATTTCTATTGCAAATAATGCAGCTCATATAGCCTGCAGTCGTTGCTGATCAGCAGCAGTCAAGCAAACAGGAATAAATTCCACTGAGCCTCCATCAGTCATCCTGCTCTAATCATCTATTCAAAAACTATCCTGTGAAAGCTGCTCGACAGGAAGTTAATTTGCATCCTTGTTACAGTCAAGGACATCCAGCAGCTGGCGGAGAGCTGAAGACACGCTACTTTGTTTTCTATATACACCTCCACTATGGCAGCGGAGAACGACGGTGATAATCTGACTTTCATAACCAACTGTATACCTAACAGGGACATGTAGCAACCATTGAAAACTTCATGTTGAAATTTAAATGCTACTGAGGGGAATATTTTACTACCCAGATCCTTTGACAGACATCATTGGCATATTAGGAGAGGAAAATAAGAATATTTCAGGATCTAAACTCTAAATAAATTTGTTACTTCATTACCACAGAGGTTAATCCTTCTCTACTGGAAGAACCCTCATCCAGCGAGCTGGACTCAGTGGTTGAGGGAAGTGATGCAACATCTCAAACTTGAGAAACTAAGATTCACACTAAATGGCTCTTCTGATAAATTTATGAGAATCTGGAATCCGTTTCTGTAATATATAAAAGCTAGACTCTAAACCCCCGCTTCATTTATAACTCCACATGAGGTAAGTCGCATTCCTTTTTCTTTTGTAATGCTGGATGGCAGTTTGTATGTTGTTAAAAAAAACAACAATAAAAAATATATTAAAAGGAAAAAAAAGAAAAACATTTGTCTGAATTTGTGTGTTCTGAATTCCCCATTTCAAGTTTTGCAATTTCAAAACCTTGTTTCAAAGATTCTTTAATGGGTCAAATTGCTTAAATTAGTAATTTCGAGTTAAAAAAAAAAAATCAAGCTAAAAAAAAAGAAGTAGCTCTTCTTGAATTTGTAAAGGTCAGACTCTAAAGATCAGGATTAAAATATCCAAACTTAAACATTCAACAATCGAGCCTCTGCGGAATTGATAACTGTAATGTCCAAACTGATTACGCTCTGTCAGTCATGTGACACTCGATATTTTGCCAGGATGGATGTGGATCTGCAGGACGCACCAATGCAAGCTTTAGTGAGCTCAGTGACCGCCAGGTTCGAACCTGAAACCCTCTTGCTGTGAGGCAACAGTGCCAACCACTGCACCACTGTTAACATAATTAACTCTATCTAAATGTCAATATATTTCAACACTATTTAGCTGTACATACTTTCCGGTATAACTTCATGATGGCCAGTTTGAGAATTTCTCAGCAGTTACGTAAAAGCCATTTGAAAACCTGCAGGGATGTCTAGTTGCATTTGCAGCCGTACAAGGAGCAATAATGTAAGAGTGTCCTTGTAATTCAGTCATCACAAAAAATAAAAAATCATCTTGGTTTGGAGTTAGAGTTACAAGAGGGGTCTCCTATAGGTTTAATCTTGGCTTGAGGGCAAAGATTATCTTAGGGTGCTTTCAGACCTAGAGTTGTCTTGCTTTGGTCTGTATCAGGGACTAAATTTGTTAGTAACTGCCTAGAGTTGGTTCGTGTTCTCACGGCAGCATTTACAAGTGGACCAGATCAAATGCCTTGTGTGAGAAAGCTGCTCTTGATTGGTCAGAATTTCCATGTGGGAAAAATCCAGGAAGTAAACAAAACGTTGAAGAAGAGTACACTTGCAAGATAAATGTGACACTTTCTAATGTCACAATGGAGGGACAACTACGCAGGTTGATTTTAGCGCTGCTCATCGTGGACTATATTGCTGTCATTGTTCATTTTAGTCAAACCATACAGTTTGAAAAGGAGGCGCGGCTCCAACTAGAAAACAATGTTTTGATGCATTGGATGTGCTGAATGTGCATATTAAGGCAGTACAGGAGGAGGTGCACATTAATGATCCTCCAGGACTGTAACATGCTCATGTTTAACCCAAACAATGTGTCATGTGACTGCAGTTGGTTCAGATCGAGGTCGGAACACGTTCTCACCACAAACGAACCACACCAGAGTTTGTTTGTACCCGGACTGAGACCACCTCTTCAAGAAGGTCTCGGTCAGGTTGTTTTGGTGCGCACCTGAGTGAGATTGCTGTGTTCACACCTGCCCAAACGAACTGCACTTAGGGGGCAAACGAAAATGAGTTCGATTGAACCGAACCAAACAGGTCAGGTGTGAAAGCACCCTTTGTAAACAACTTTTTAGGTTACAGTTTTGCCAGCTGACCCAAAACATGACGAGATGACACAATGCAAGCTGACAAAAATATGCATCAAACACTGTGTGACGCAGGATGTAAGGGTCTGCCCCTGGGTGAAATACTGTATTTTTGGGATTGTCACTGAAAACCCTGGACACTTGAATTTGTGAACTGGAAAAAATAAAACTTTTTTTTTTTTTGAATTGCAAATGCTTGAAATGTCCTACTGGAAATTTCAGATGAGACAATTTACAACACAAAATAAGACAGATGGTTTTCGATGTTAAGAGAAACAAGGTTGTCCATTCAGTGGTTTCAGCATGAAGTTTTCAGTAGTATTCAGCTGCTTAAACTGTGTTTTTCCGTGCCCTCTGTCCACAGAGAACAACACGAGTTGGTGTGCAATATATTTTTGTAAGTTTCTTACTGGAGCCCTATCTAACAGGACTGTCAGTGTGCTGGAGCTTGTGCAGCATCAAATGAAGTCATCCCGCCTGAGTGTTTGTGAGCAAGAGTCAAATCTTTTGATACTAATCTTAAGCGACAGAAATCAGACCACCTGACCTGAGGGACTGTTTCTGATTGGCTCAATCCAGAGAGGAAGGGGGATGAGTTGAGCACCCTTTCTCATCACTGCTGTAGGGCGGACTGCGCTGCACGTGGGAGCTGAGTGTGTGTGTTTGAATGTGTCCGTCTCTGTCTGTGTTTGTGTGTGATGATAGAGCAGGCGAGGACAAGGAGCCCTCCCAGACAAAACTGAGCCAAATTCTTCACAATAATCCTACTCCTCTTCATCAGCATCTTTCACTTCAAACACAGTGGCAGCGGGGGGAAAAGGATTTCCTCTCCGTTTTCCTTGCTGGATACAGACAATACACTGATACACTGCACTTCTGCTTCAACAACCTTAAGGACAGTCTCACTCAGTCACATTGGCTCTGCTCAGTCACTCGCCTTTCCTCTCGCCCACGTGTACACACACACACACACTCGCTCAGCCCTCAGGCCCCTCTGCGTGACATCATGCTGGATCAGGATTCCTCCACACTTTAATGCATTTCTATTCTTTTTGTCTGATGTCAGCACATCATGCTTCAGTGTCTGCTCATACATACAGTCCATGGCGTATGTATTCAGTGCAGCTCCATACATACAGACATCAGTGTATACATTTCATGCATGAATGCATAAAGTCTATGCTCCTATTGTTGTGGTGGGCATGTTCATTATGTGTGTGTGCAAAGGATGTTCAGTCTGTGCATTGCATTTGTCTGTTGGGATGAGTTTTGAGCAGGCAGGGGAGATTCGGGATGCACATGGGGTGGGGTGGAGGGTGGAGGGAGTTTGGCTTTGGTCTGGAGGCTTTCTGGTAGTCCTGGATTTCTCAGGCCCTGAGCCTGAGTGTGACATACCCTTCTCTGGGTAAACATCCTCACTAGTGGTGAACCTCACCCCCTTCCCGCCGAACACTGGCCCACAGACGGGGCAGAAGGAGGGAGTAGACAGAGAAAGGAGAAACACGTAGAAATATGAGGTTTGCAGAGGTTGAATTTAAGAATAACAGAGAAGAAAAACAGACAAACATTTATAAGCCTTGTATCTAAAGATGGGGGAGATTATTTCAATCAAATCTGCTCTTTTTTAATTCTTCTGATCTGCTGTGCAATCCTGCAACATGCAAAGCTCACACAGATCTACTGCTGTAAAATGGACTTAGGTATGCTCCAAAAACCGCATGGCATTTTGCTAATTAAATTTTAAATGATCATCCACTCAAATGGCATCTCTACCAGCGGCGCTCAGGGACAGCGTGTCAGCATCAATGCTTCCACAAAGATGATGGCTGCTATGTAGCCATCTGATGTTAGGATGGAGGCTGCACAACGGAATCAAAGAGCGAGAGAAAAGAGGGGGCGGGTATTTATTTTTTCACTGCAAATAGCTGTCAGATCATGTAAAGAATAGTCTCTGTGTTTCCCCGAGGCTGGCTACCAGGAGACTCCGCATTTCAGAGCAGAGGGAAAATATTGTGCGGCTGCAGCCTCGACTTCATGCTCTACAAAGCATGTGAGATATTTTCAGGATACAGAGCTGAGCATTTGGGAAACCCTAATATCAACAGAGGAGTGGGAGACACAGAGAAGAGTGGCTCCTCTGAGAGAGCAGAACACAAACAGAGATCTCAAACTGAGAATTACATAACATTAGATATTAACTTCACACTTGGAAAGTGAAGATACTGGAAATAAAGTGAATCAAGAGACAGAGAAGGAGAAGAGTGTCACAGAGAGTGAAGACCGTTAGGTTACCTTGGGCATTCTGTGACTGGACAAAGGTCTTAATGAGTTTGTCTGTAGCCTGCGTGTAGAGGGACAGGGCGTAGTGGAGAGACTGGAGGTCAGGACTCTTCTCCAGGAAAGTCTTCTTCAGACCCACACCACCAGCATGGAAATATTGCTAACATACACAAAGACAGGCAGACAGAGTAGAAGACAGCTGTTAAGTTATACTATGCAGGATTTTTCTAACAGTATAGACTCATACAGAAGTAATCACTCTCAATCATCACTGATGACCCATGAGAAGTGTGTGGCAGTGTATTTTTCTGCAGAGTATTTTTCTGTATTTTCTTATTCTTTTCTTATTGTCTGTGTTGAGCACGTTTATGGGCTAAGGGCTAACCCTTAATACACAGAACGTTATTCATCCCTACAACAGGAAATACTTTTTCCCTAACCTGAAATGAAGTGTGTGCTGCACATGTGAGCATTTTTGATGATGGATTCTTTCCAGTCCTTTCGTCTTATCACATTTAACCATAGTTGTCTTGTTTTTTTATGGGCAATGGCAGCTGGTATGTGATAAAATTAAAGTTTCAAGCCATGACTCCTTCTATTCTGGCTCCCAGTAACACAACAAGACGACAATTTAAAACTCTTGTGTAGCCTACAGCCCTGTGGTGGAGAGTCGTGTTTTGCCTCCTGCTAATAAAATGTCATCATTGTGACATCTGCCCTAAAAGCGTCTATAAAAAGGTATTCACCAAGTGCCAGACTGTAAGCAGCAGGCATCCAAGTGACACAGCACAGAAAAACTCAAACATAACAAGGTGAAATGCCAAACTGGAGTGAATTTGGGGTTGGCTCTTATTTTAACTTTCTCTGGCCAATGTGTTAACAAACAGTAACCCACAATCCTGCATCTAATACCTTTAACTTACTTCCTGTTGCAAAATATTCCTGAAGAAGAGCAGGCACTTTCTTTGTTCTTACAAGAAAAAGCCAGATTTGTTTTGATACCGATAGCTGTATCAGAAATGTCTGGATGCTGCCTAAAATGCTACATCAGGTACTGGCGAGTGCACAAGTCTATGTATTGATCCAATACTATGTAAATTATTAATAAACTTTGAGAGGTCGGTGATGTCATATACGAGACGAGAGTACTCTATTTGCTATTTTTAGAATATCTCCAGGAAAACTGCGGTCTAGAAACTTACTGTCAATGGCCTCCACTTTGTCTCTTTTTATTTAGCTTCTTGACATGGCAATGGATTAGTAAGTGGATTTTTTAACACGCTGACAATGGATCGATACTCGGAATTGGCTGATATGCAAGCTCAGGTATTGGAATCAGTATCGGCAAGGAAACAATGGTACTGGATCATCTCTAGAAAAAAGGGATTTAAAATGATTACTCAATAATCCAGACCTGCAATGACTGGTTGATAAATTGATTAGTTAATAATTCTGTTTGGCGATTGACAGGAAATTATTCAAAGCTACTTTGATAATTGATTAATCCTTATTATTATAGCAAAAATACCAACTGCGTATAGTTCTAGGTACAAAGATGTGAGACTTAGCTGCTTTTCCTTGTCTTACTGGAGCGTATCTATGTTTCCAGGGTTCTATGTTTCCCGATCAACCAAGCGGGAAACAAAGAAGCTTTTTTGTGTAAGCGGGGAACATAGAACCTTTTTTGCAGGGTTAAGTGAGGAACATAGAACCCGGGAAACATAGAACCCTGGAAACATAGGGATGACCCCTGTCTTACGGTATAGTAAATTTGATATTCTTGAGTTCTTGACTGTTGATCTGACAAAACAAGACATTTTTCGGTCTCAATTAAATTGGCATTTTTCACTGTACGCTCATGTTTTGTAGTCTGAATGATTAATCAATTAATAAAAAACCACCAGTATGGTCAACACAGTGATTTATAGTTATTTTTAAAATGATGTTTAAAATGCTATTTCCAGCACATCCCATGTCTCTTCTTACATGCAGATATGGAAAAAACTTGATTCTTAATTTAGCTTTGTGGAGCTTAAAAACATAAATCAGCCACACAAAAAAACCCTCAACATTTTAAAGGTGTTAGGCAACACCTACAAAGCAAATTTAACTTGTAAAACCAGAGCAGATATTGTGATTTACCGTAACAGCGAAAGTCTGTGCATGTATGTAGCAGTGAGTTTGTACCTTGATGGTGTCCAGGGCCAGCTCTATCACAGCACACTGCTTAGGGGTGAGCGCTTTGGCCTCCTCACGAACCATGTGCTCCTTTAGACGACAAATACAGAACCAAAATTACCCGTCTGTTCATTCATATGCCTTGTCTCGTATTTTCTAGGCAATTAGTGTCTTGATCTGAAGCGCTGACACCAGGCCCAGAGCATAACGGTGTAAAAACATATTGTACCTTCAGCTTGGACAGCTGTCCCAGCTCCTTGGCAGCGTTAAATATGAGCTGAGTGCCCTGGAAGAGACAGAAAGACAGATAGAAGAAAGGTAGACAGGAGGAGAGAGGAGACCGCTGTTATTATCACCACAATGCGGGTCGGCAGTAAACGGCTTAGTGTCACACAGAGGACAGCGACGTTTCTGACACACACATTCATAAACAGTCACTCTAAGCCGCTTTACAGATGTCAAGGTACTTTTTCCCTTCAAGTGCTGTTATCATACTCATCTGTGTTTTACTCCAAAACATTACACTCCGCTGCACAAATCCACACACACACACACACACACACACACACACACACACTGAGACATTAGAGAGGGGAAAGTGGCTCAGCTCGTAGTGAGGGCAAGAAAGAAGACACACTCGTGCACTTAGGAACACACACGTGCAGGCACCCACACACTCACACATAGCAGCTATGCAGTTGCACTGCAGTGTATGCAGGTATTTACTGGATGTCCAGCCTAATACAATACTCTGCTAAGAGAATATAACTGAATGCTGCTGACTACACCTTCAAATCTAATCCTTGGTTACAGCCTTAGGCATGAAATAAGCTTTTATTATCTACTGTGTGAGGCTAGAATGTATTGACGTTTATCTTGCAACCAACATCACAATAATGCAAGAAAATGAAGCAAATCTGAATAATTAGAAAAATGAAAATAGTGTTCACTTTTGAAACTGTGATGTGTCCACTCGTTTAAACTGTTTCAGACACTTAAGAGTCACTCACGCCCTGTTTTTTTCTTCTGTGTTGCAGAAACAGCGAGTTGTTTTGAAATCCCAGTGAAATTAAGCGACGATTGAACTCCTTGACTTTTGGTTTGTGGTGCGTTTGAGCCGCAAATGTCTGCATGTAGATAAGAGTGTGTGTGACCTGTGGCGAGGCTGGGAGTGCAGGCAGCTACTGCTACAGCATTTCTCACAGCATATAAACAGCACTACAGAGGAATGTCGTGTAAAAACAAAAGTGAAAAATCAATATTTCCACTGCTTTGTTTGACTGGCGAGCTGAGGGAGAGAGACGGAGACATGGAGAGAAGACATAGAGAAGAGAGACAAGACACATTGATCTAAAGGGGTGTAGTCCTTACATCACTGTGAGAAGCACTCTTCAGCCTCCCCTGGAAAGAGAGCATTTGGTTAATACTTCAGGCAGTGGCCAGTCCCTGCAGTCTGACTTCACTCTCATTGGCTATGCAATCAAAAGTTGCATATCTTGCTTTGCAAGAGGTTAAAAACAATTTGAGGATACTCGTCACTGCCGGAGATGTTTGCTAATTAGCTTCCCCTCTAAAGCAACAACATCAGATTTTGTACCACACCACAAACCAAAGAAAACAGGTTAACATACACACTGACAGGAGTAAATGGACGGACAAAATCTGCTCAGAAATATGCAGGTGGTTTGCTTTCACTGCATAGTGTTCAAATTGATGGCTGTGTTATTTCTATGTGGTCTGATATACAGTGACAGGAAACACAGGACATACTGTACAGTAAAAATCCAAATGTCATTGGGAAAACATAATCTTTCCTATCAATGAAAGAAAATATAACCCATTAATGTATGATAAAGAACTAGTTTGACATTTTGGGGGAATACAAGCTAAATGAGAAGATATCTGTGCTGTAAAGGGACAGTTCTCCCCAGAATCAAAAATACATATTTTTCCTCTTACCTCTAGTGCTATTTATTAATCTAGATTGTTTTGGTGTGAGCTGCCAAGTGTTGAAGATACTGTATGATGTATGAAGATGTCTGCCTTCTCTCTAGTATAATGGAACTAGATGGCACTCAGCTTTTGGTGCTCAAAGCACCACAAAATAGACTTCTAAAACTCAACAGCAATGTGTCTTACCAGAAATCTTGACTCGATTTCTAGTGATTATCCACAGACCTTGTTGTGGTCAGTTTCATGGAGGAACTATTTTCTTTCTACTGAATTACACCTGCCAACTGTGTCACTACGCAGAAGAAAGCATGTACTACTAGCTCACCTAGCACCACTGAGCCAGCTAACGTTACAGTTCAGCCGAGGAGGACGCCATTAATGTTCACATCTCACGCTGTCACAAGCATGAGCCTCTCGTCCATGAGTAGATGCACGCTTCCTTTTGTGTGGTGAAACAGTTGGCAAGTGTAGCTTGGTAGATAGTAAATAGTTCCTACATGAAACTGCCCAAAACAAGATCTGGAGATTATCTTGGTCATGATTTCTGGAAGGAGAAATTACTGCTGAATTTTCTAATTATTTTTTTTGGCACTTTGAGCATCACAAACCCAGTGACAGTGACTTATTCAAGAGAGAGCAGACATCTCCACGGTCGATATGTCCAACACTCGGCAACTCACACTAAAACAATCTAGATCGATAAAAAGCACTACAAACAAGAGGTAAAATATTTACTTCTGATTTTGGAGTGGACTGTCCCTTTGAGTACAGAGCAAGAGTGGGAGATGATTAGCTTAGCTTAGCATACAGGCTGGAACCATAGTTGAAACCTCTGTCTTGGCTTCATCCGCTACATCTATCAGCAGCTCTAAAGCTCACTAATAAACACAATATGCGTTGTTTGTTTGATATTTACATAAACAGAATGTTGCAATGACAGGCTGTGATTTTATGGCGACTCAGCCTGGCTGCTGATCACCAAGAAATTGTCATAGTATGTAACTCAGAAAATCTATCAACCAGTCAATAAGTCAACTGTATGGATTAACAAACAAGATATATTAGGGATACTGTTAGGTGGATTTTTTAGCTGGAGTAAGCAAGGCTAGCTTTTTAGCCCTGCTATTAAGCTAAGATAAGGTAAGCTAATCAACACCTGGTTCTCAATCCATATTTAACACACAGACATGAGAGTGGTATAAATCTTCTTAGCCAAGCTTTTGACAAAAAGGCAAAAAAAAAAAGCAATTTCTAAATGTCACAATTTTTCTGCCTGATATGTACTTTTAGTTTTGATACATTGTCTAATATAATATTATTTTCACAGCGTTTTGTTGCATCTTTTACTTAAAGTGGAAACAGACAACTTTCCCCCCCAGCATTTCCAAGTGGTGTTATTGTTGGCGCCGTTGTTGCAAAGTCAACCGGATCAATGCCTCGCAACTAGCGACAACACGGGACACACTGCATTTTGTTTGCCACAGTTACTGCGGTGGTTCCACTACATGGACTCTTCTATATTGTAGATAGTAACTGCAAATAACACTGATACTCTTTGGTAACGAGGGAAACCTATCAGGGAAAACAGAAGTGCTAAGCTCTTCCTGTTTTGTTTGCACAGCGGTTGATGCACTTCCTTTGTGCCATAAATTAAGCCTTCATTTTCCCTGTAGCTCGTACGCAGTGGCAGACAGAATTGCACAGTGAAAGCGAGGCTTATAGGGAACCAGTCTAATAATTGATGGTGTCATTATGCATCGTGCAATCAACATTTACTTCATGATGATAAAGTAATGCAAAAAACATGTCTATTTCCACTTTAAGTAAAGGAACCGAAAACTTCCGCCACCACTGGGGCCTCGTTACTCAACATTTAACAATACACAAGTACTGCAGATGACATGGACAGAGAAACTCACATCACTTCCTGTGCAGCACTACACTATATTGTTTTCCTGATCACTGTCATGTACACCATAGATCAGAGTAGACTATTCTAAAAGGTCTTAGATGCTTCCGTATGTCCTGTATGAGTCAGCGCCAACTCTGGTGAAAGTCATCACATACTGTAGAAATTAAACAGAATACTTCACCCCACATGGTTATTGTTACTCACCCAGTGTTACGCTGAATTCTGAAGAAAACTTTAGCCCTTTTTTACAGAGAGAATAGGCCACAGGGCTGCTACAAAGCCCCTTCTTTATGCCCTCTATGGCTTTTTAAACAGAACCTAACAAGGGTGGCATCATGCCGCTCCAGTGTGTAATTATAGACAGCATGTGTGACATATAAAATAACAGCATCGGCCTCTAAATGGCAGCTGATGTTGTCCTCCGCTCAGAGGCTAAGGAGCTCCTGAATCTCATTGTTTTCCCTAATTGCAGGCATTTACAGCTGCTGTTCTTGTTCTTCGAATTAGCTGCTAGCTGCTAACAGCTGCTTTTTAAATTTCCCGCAATGGGCCACCATCACAATACATTTTACACAGACCTTATTTCAGGGCTGTTACTACCTCGGATGTTCTGATATCGTTTTGTTGTTGTTAAACGTTGTTCACTGGAGGCATGTGAGAAAAACAACCTTTTCTTCACTAGTTCAATGTAACAGTGTGAGTAACTGATATATAAATGGTCATATGGGGGGTGAAATATTCCTTTAGAAGAATTTTTTGCATAGTACATTGATAGCACCTTTTTTGACCAACATCAACTCAAACCAATAACGTCTTGTAAGAGAAGCCATTCTGTGCATTAGGACCAGTGACATGATACCAGCATTATAATCATCATAGAAACAACAGAACATGAAATCAAACCATGACAGACCAACATGACAGGTCTGCAGGGACATACAGTACAGTGTTGTACAGTATACTGAGAGAGGACTGCAGTGTTGAAATAGATCAGATGCAAGCAACAAACCCACAGTGGGCGGTGGGGACACAGTTCAAACAGGTGGGAAAAAGGTGGGGACAGTGGGGGGTGGGGCAGAGAAGGAGGGAAAGGGTCTGGGGGTGGGGCAGGACACCAGATACCAAGCCACCAAGAAATCAGAGTCACCCCCACCAGAGTCCCGGTAAAAGGACACAATGCATGAGAAGAAACAAGGCAACACCAGGCGCAAGAGAGGAGTACCACTTCCTGTTTGAGGAGAGTGTTCAGGAAGAAGAGACAGCAGAAGAGAAGGGGGGGCATTGATTGGTGGAGATTGTCGAGGGGGGTGTGGGACCTATCAGAACCAGTCAGGAATGCACCATGCTCCTGTCTTCTCAGAAGAGAGACAGTTTTGGAGGAGAGAAGAGAAGAAGGAGAGGAGGAGAGGTATAGACAGAATGGGACAGATCTGAGAGGCTGTGAGAAGGGAGAGGGTGAGATGTGGGGTAGAAAACAGGGGAAGATCGCAGCCACATATAGCAGAGGACCAACCACCGTGGACGGACAGACAGACACACACGCAGGAGTGCTGTACTTACAATCATCTGTGGAGGGAGAGCGGTGGGAGCGGGATGTAATAGTAATCACAACAACAACCAGAGAGAAGGGTCAGTCAAGCTGCAAAGAGCCCCACATCATTAAAAAAACACAAGTTTGGGCCTCAGGGCTGGAGGGACGTGGACCAATTGATACCTGTCTGAAGCCTGGATTAAGTACAGGTGGGGGCCAACGACTACGTAACTTTGCTTCTTGGAATTTTTTAGAATGTAGCAAATAAGTGTTTTAGCTTTAACAGCAACTTCAAATGAAAAGTAGTTACTCTACAGATGATCATGTGGCATCTGCACATACTCAGAGTTCACTATCTTCTCTTGTTTTTGTTCCCCTCTCTTCTTTAAAACTGGATAAACTAGGGATGTAAATGGTAAACTGTGAACTGTTTATCCGCCGAGAATATTTTTAACCAGTTACACATGCCGGTCTATGGATTTATTTTTCAACCCTTCAGTTTACTGCACTACGCACTAACTGGGTCACGTGATGCCATGGGGCCCAAAAGACTTTTTCCATTGACTCACATTAGGAATGAGATATCTTTAAATCAGTGGATGCACTTTTGAGCATTACAAGCCCCGACTGGTATGACTATCAGAATGTAATCCATTTAGTCCGATAACAATTTGAAAGTCTAGAAGAGCTGCAAAGTTAAATCATTTTATCCCCACTCGAGTTAGCAAAGCGTTAAACCGGAAGTAGCTGGCTAAAGCGGCGGAAGTTTCAATGCCGATTACCAGGGTAATTTCATATTGCAGATATAGAGCTTTTTTGGCTTCATGTGCCGCTGAGCAATTTTCAAAGTTATGTACGGGGTCCTGCCTCCAACACTGTATCCAGGTCTCTTAATACATCCATGCCGTAATCGTAAACAAGTGGCATCACTAGCTAGCTCATACCAACGTGGGTGGTGCGCAGTGTAGAGCATCCAAGGCTAGCTAACAAGTGGAGATCAGAGGGTGGGCAATGGGCGCTGTTTCCGCTTACTAACGCAGCTAATCGGCTGTCTTGTCAGCACAGCCACCAGAGAGTAAAAGACAAGACATTTACAATAAAAAACATTAAAATTTCATCACCTCTAAATGGACAGTGCTTTGAAATGCGCTGCTGAAGCTCATACTAAGTCAGCTAAAAGGAAATGACTTTTGTATTTCATTTTGCGGTAATAGGGTATCGAGCTATTAAAAGCAAACTTAACTGAGACTGACATCAGATAAACTCAGTTGGACAGGGGCTTACTGCAAAGCTATGGCCGCTGAGGCTGAACCAGTTGTGTTGATAACTGGTGAGCACTGAGCACCTTATTAACAGTGATATGAGGCTCTTTAGTTAATAACCAAACACAAATAAGAACACATATATCCAAAACAAAAAAGAACAAGAGGCTGCTTTCCAAAATGTATGATTCTTTTTGGAAGTGGGCCAGATCCTTTGGGCAAATATTTTCTGCCACTCTGTTGTGAGTTACCCATAAATCAGAAATCTCTCCAGATAATTGTTGGCTGACATACTGGAGAGCAGCCATGAGCTGGTGTTAGAATGATATGGTGCACTCCTTTTGTCTTTTCAGCTTTTTCTTTTTTTTTTAAAAAGAGGGGTTTCATCTTGATTGTTTGGATGAATGAAGGCACTGGGGGCGATGCTAAATATAACGTGTGGATAGGATGCCATATAAATGTGATGCAAAAGTAGCTTTTGTTTATAAGAGGGCCATCTTGAATCACAACACACACAAAATGTCTGCCTTTGTATTCCTTTTACTCGTTTTCCACCTCCTCCTCCTTTTTCTTTTGATGCTGCCTTGGCAGCTGGAGGTGTGTGTAAGTTTGTGCATGTGTGGGTGTATGTGTGTTGCATGTTTTGTGCATCATTTTTCTGCAGTCTACCTTATTGCTGTGGTCATCATCAGATCAAATGTTTGTATCTCTTTGTAGCAATAACCACGCATAATAATCTGTAAGCTTTCTGGAAAACAGATGCTAGTTGTTGTGTTCTTCGTGTGTTTGTACATGTGCATATTAATCCACACTAAAAATGTTAAATCATCTGTGCAGGAGGCACAGTCAGTAATGAGTGCCAACATGTGTAGCTTAGCATCAATATTGTGTGATTTGTATGATTGTATGCCTCTGTATGTGCATTTGTATACATCTACACTCTCACCGTTTGGTCTGTGAGTGGCGGCAGAACGATGGTCTTCTCCATGGTGTTCATCACCAGCTTCCACAGCTCCTTCAACACACGTTTCAGCACCGTCTTTTCACAGATCTTAGCAAACAAAGTCAGGCTGTGAGGAGGGGGAGACAGAAGACAGGAAGCAGCGATGAATAATGAGCAACAGAAGGAGGTAAATGCTGTTTTCCTGGAGAAAAAGAAACTGAGCAAGAAATAAAAAAAATAGTGGTTGCTTGAAATCCCTGATGCCCAAATAGCTCTTGTCAGAAATTTGGGGAATTTCACTTCTTCTTTTACTCACATAGTCATAGTCAGAGTCAGGCAAATTCAAGGATGTCTTTTTTTTCTCTTATTTCTCAGTTTGTGAGCAGTGTGTATAATAATACTAGCATGACAAAATCCATTACATGACCATGAAATCGAGCAGAAATTCCTCTCAAAAGTAGGAAAATTACATAAAAACATTAAACTTGTGTGTGTGGATTGTCTGTCTAAGCTGCAGCTTCACCTCACAGATATCTAATACACATTGACCGTAACTTGGATAACCAGAAATTCAACATAACTTCAAATTGCATCTAGAGATTCATCTACTGTATGAGTTTGTCTAACCCCTGGTAAATTAACTAAATGCCCTCAAAGCCGCATAATCTCTTTAAGCCTCTTTCATATACAGTTCCTCGTAAATTACTGGGATAATCTTTCAGTCACCGCTAGTGATTTTCACTATTCACACGTGCACTACATTGGGGAACATTGCCATTTTGTGTCTTTTAAGACATGCCATGGCAATGGCAGAACAGATAGGGCAATGGTCAGTCTATTAGTTGGTGGTAATTGTTGGGAATAGAATGATGTTATGTGTTTTACTATAAGTTGTGTTTCACTATATAAGTTTTAGATGTGTGAACAATGAGAATACTGAGATGATTTCAGCTGATCTGAATGTGTTTGCTTTGCAGAAGTGGAGAAGTACAGGAGAGGAAGAGACATGAAGTCTGAGGAGCACATACCGCAATGCTTAGATAATTAGTTTCATATATGGTAAAAAGAATAGAAAGTGATATACAGATAGTAAGGTACAGCACGTGTAGGGAGTTGTGTTGTTCTCTTGTCTTTCAAAACAGGAACCACGCCCCCACCGCCAGCGGGAAGGAGTCAGATTAACAGGAGGCAGGGGCGTGGTGTGGTGAAGGAGGAAGTGGAACTGCCAATGAGAAGAGGACAACGCCTTGTGTGCACAATGACACTTTGTTACGCTCAAATATACTGGGTCAGGGAAAGGACAGGAGGTCAGACTTCGTGAACTGACACACCTTTGTTGTTCGTCAGGGACGTGAAGTTGAGACCCAGAGCTCTGTAATTTTATTCCTTTACTGCTTAATAAACTACATTAACTGAGACTGAATATCTTCTCCTATTGCTTCATTAAAGAACACGCAGGACTGAGCTCACACATAGCACATTGGAGAGTAGGATGAGACTCTTAGTCCAACATAATACAAAACCAAGCAGCAACTCTGAAAGCAAATCAGCCTCCAAAGACCCCCCCGAGGTAAAATGCCTAACTTTACAGCAGATATAGACATGTTTACAGCCTTGCACAAAAAACAGTTTGGGTCTCTGGCATTTTCCCTGAAATGTTACTAGGTCTTGAGGTAGGAAATTCCCCTGAATATCAATCCCTGCTCCCATTACCACATGACCAAATGCAGGAAATGTTCCTGGACATTTCAGAGATAGACTGAATGCGTAAAAGGGGCTTAGACCCCCAAGTGGCAGACTGCCTTACTTGCTGTCCAGGAACTCCATGATGGGCTGCAGGACATTGTCAGCATCCTGCGCCACGCTGCTGGCATTTCCCACATTTGACGTTCCCTTCACTTGAGCCAAGATGTCTCCCATCTGCTTCACATTCTCCTCTATGTGAGGCTGGAAACTACAGAGGAAAAGAAGGAGAGGCTTTTGATGAAGTCTGCACTGTCGATCTGTTTAGTGTACATCACATTCATCTCAGACTTATGTGTGAATGACTTTGTGTTTGAGTGTGTTTCTACCTGACAGCAAAGACCCTGCTGAGATCATCCATGACATTGTTGAGCTTAACCTGCAGGTCCTTCAGGATGTCACTGGCCTCCACACACAGCTAAAGTACATGCATGAAAACATTTTGTATATTTTGTATTTATCCAACTGTATCTGTGATTTTTTGCATTTTGTATGACTTTAAATACCAATAAAAAGACCCTGAGCAAAATTTAAAAAAAGACTTATAAAAAATAGACGACTGCACACTGAATAGACTTTACTGTGAATTTATTGAGCGAACAACGCTTTTCGTCTGTGGCTTCTTCAGGTTCACTCATTACAATTACCTGAACATTCACAGGTGTGACTAATACACATGACTCACGTGGCTTGATTGTCAGTCACTTCACTTCATTTTTTTTCTTTCTTTTAGTGCTTTAACAGATTTGGCAATCTGTTAAAGCACTAAAAGAAAAAAGAAAAAAGTGTATTCAGTGTGCAGTCGTCTATTTTTGATATGTTACTTAAGACATTCCTGCGATCGACCAACACCTGATCCCCTATATCGGCTGTGCAGAGGGAGTTTTGTTTACCTTTAAAAAAAGACTGTTTGGGCAAGGCAACTGTGACCAAACACTAACATATACACTCAAAGCTAAGCAGGTGAATGATACTGGCTGGGAGTTGGAACTCAAGAGAGGACAAAAAAAAAAAAAAAAGAGAAATCACTCACATCTTTTCCACCCATGGCTTCAAACATCTTCTCCAGCTGAACTCTCAGCTGTTGGATGTTGTTGATCAGGATGCAGGGCTGAGGACAGAAAGACAAACAGATCAGCCTTCATGTTTCCACTGGATTCAAAGACATCGTTCTTACAACAACCACAAAGCTACAGGAGAGTTCTGTTTGCAGACATAATTAACACATTAACAGTGTGAAACCAAAACTCAAATGTTATTTGTATCAAGAATGGACCAAGCTGACTCCTCTGTGAAAATCCCCACAGGACCATCAAGTCTTTGACCACTCACCACTTTCTCCATGGTGACATAGTTGGCGAACAACCTGGAGATGATATCAGCGTAGGACAGAAGCACATTGCTGATGGTCTGAAGAGGAAAACAAGAAAGAGCAACAGGTCATCAATCATCAGGCTATACTAAAAAACATGGTAACTTTGTAAGGTATGATTTGACTTCCCATGACTTCAAATTTAACTACATCTACCTTTGCAAATCGCTTCATGTAGTGTCCTACAATCTGCGGATCCGGACACTCTAACTTCCTGATGATCTCAAAGCTCTGGTTGAGCTGAGAAAACACGTCCACCACCGAACAGGAGAACAGAGCATGTTCTGATGTGACCTGGAACTGTTGGGCAGATAAAGGTGTGTGAAAAGATTAAAAACTAGGAAGAGAATAATAGGGGGAAAGGAATAAGTGATAACGGATTAGTAGGAGTAGCAGGTGAGAAGCTGTGACTGGAGGGAGGCTAGCAAGATGTGACCTGTGGGAACATGAGACCATATAGACAGACCATTAGACGCTATTTTAAACTGAACCTTGATGTCTTTGACCACATGTGCTGTGCCTCAGACTCCCTAGAGCCAACCAGCCGTACAGCCATCCAGTGACAGGTGGGAGCTCCTGTCCGTCTCCTTGTAATTGGCTGCTGGCTGGCGCCTGGTCCCTAATTGGCTAGAGGTGAGTGTGTAGGTGCTCCTCTGGGGAGTCTGGGTAATGAGGTGAGGGCGGCTTTCCTGCCGTCAAAACTCTGGAATAAGGCCATTAATTTACAATATCCTGCTGTCACAGAGTTGTCTCCCTCCGTAAGTACATGCACGTCTCAGCCACGCTTCTTTAAACTTCCAAAGAGTCGCTTTATACAATGAAGCACATCCTCTTAGTCCTAACGCACCCTCCGCTTTGAGTCCACGTCTGCGCTGCTGTGTCCATGCTGCTATTGTTGGCTTTGAAGAGTGCAGGAGAGGCACGGGGAAGTGTGGGAGGCAGAGCGTGGAGGGAGGATGAAACTTTGGCTGATAACTTTGAGTGTGACAGAGGAAGTACAAAGGATGGATTACAGTAATTCTGCCTGAACAACAACAGCGACTCAGCGCTTCCAGAGGAGTGAAGGGAAGATAAGAAGAAGAAGAGCTGGAAACTTTTACCCCATCTTTTTTGTCTCTCTCCAAAGCGCCGTGCAGAAAGTCCCGAGACACCTCCTCATTTTCGTCCAGCCACTGAATGACAAATGGCTCAAACCACCTACGGAGAGCAGAAAATATATTTGCATCTACAAACAAGATGAAGATTTCTATTGCTTTACTTTTACTTTCTGTTTTCAGTAGAAGATGCTACTCACGCAGGATATTCAGGCACTCTGCTCTTGAAGAAGGGCAGGTCTTTGCAGTACTCGTTGTACAGCCACTTGACCTTGAAGTGCAGGTTCATGTAATCCGCACTCTTGCACAAGCGATTTTTTTCATGTTCTAAGAGAAAGAATAAAGTGGACAAATGCACGCTGAGTAAAAACAGCAAATCTCTCCTGGCGTTTAAGCTACCTGCAATTTCCACAGAGGCAGTGACCCACAGTCGAGCAAACATCCTCACAGACCACAGCCCATCTCAAGATGATCAAGATTACAAATAGAGGACCAATCACACCAACTTTATTAAATAAATCAAATATTAGATTTGAATTTTGTATGACCTTTCAGGCTTTGTTTAATTTGGGAAAACGTCTTCAGAAGTTTTTCATTTATCAGAACCAAACTTTGCATGTGAACACGGACGTTTGGGATCCATTTTGTAACCTTTTATTGAATTACAGGAGATGGAAAACAGCAGTCTGATATCTGTTGGCTATGTGCTTGGGCTTCAAACTAAACCATAACTCAGATCTGTGTACAATCAGCATGATACTTTGCGTTCTCGTGCAACAGATGACGAAGAGCAGTTCATCAGCTACTGTCAGTATGAAGCTTAAACGGTAACTGGAATTTTCAACCTGGACCCTATTTTCCTAGGTGTTTCTGTCTAGGTGACTAATGGGAACAACTATTTTTGAAACTGGTCTAGTCAGCAGTTGTGTAACAGACTGCATTTTAATCCTGTCAATTTAAACCTACTAAAAGTGCTTGTTGTTTGACAGCATTATGGGAAGGATTTCTACAGAGACAGACCTTTTTCTTAAAGAGTGTCAACCAGAAACAACTCCAAAATCACTATCGCCAACGCCACCAGACTTCATTTAAATAAACAGTAATTTTATCATCTTAAGCCCTTAATTCACCCAGTTAGATGTGAAAATATGCTGACTCTGCACAGGCTTAAATTACTGTTTATTTAAATGGAGTCTGGTGGGTTTGGCAATAGCAACTTTGAAACAGTTAAAGTTACAATGTGTAATTTACGTGGTTGTTTATTAGCAAATATCGACTATTGCTTTCATAAATATATATTTACTAAAGTGTAAAGCAATTCACATACAAATGGAAGCTTTCTCATAGGCTCAGAATGATTTCTCTATATATACACACAGGCAGGGCGCGGTCTGCTGGAGGCTGCCCTCTTGCGTCGCCATATTTGAATACAGTAGCCGAAAGGGATATACGCGCTTCGCCTTTCGCGTTTACCTAGAACTTGCCGTCACTGGAGACAGAGAAGGTGAAGATCAATCCAGGGCGCTTCTGCGTGAACCTGCTTTGTACTTTTATGATTCTGTCGCACTTTAAATGGAGGACCACGCATATGTTTTGCCCCATAAGAGGGAAACCACGCCACCAAATAAAAGAAAAAGATCAGTTAAGCGAGGACGGGACAAAATGCGAGTGAATATCGACGTTGCTTATTCCAGGTGAAGGAGAAGGATTTCACAAGGGATGCGGAGGTTGCCTGCTTTCTGTTAGACAGGTAATTCAATCTGATATTTTAAAATCATTTTAGCTTCATGTTTGCAACTACTTTTCCCTCTCGTCTAAGTTTGAGTGACGGCTACGTTTACGTGCTAACGTTATCCTAGCCTTGGCTAACGTTATCCCAGAGCTACAGCTAAATGGTTAGCCTAGCCTACAGCCTAATGTGTTGATTCCTCTTGCGCTGCTGCGAAGGCTGCCACCCTTCTACTCCTCCTCTTCCCTCTGGGTAGCCGAGACACACCTCTTCGCCTGGCCATTCCTGCACCGCCTCTACCCTCTCGCCCCTTCCTCTCCCTGGTCTTCCTCCTCTCCCTCTCCCTCTTCCTCATCTCCCTGTGTCCTGTGGAAGAACACTCTGGAGATGCATATATTATAATCGTACCAACCTATATTTGCCGCACTGTGCCGTGACTATCACATAAAACGTGTTATTTTAGCATTACTGTGCTAATGCTCATGTTACCAAAATAATTAGAAATAAAACACTCCTAACATATATCTCACAGATAACCTATATCTCACTGGTAAGCTGTAACATATCGTAACATGGTTTAGATTCCTAAATAAATATTCACCTCGTTGCTAGATACTCCTGAAAAATTCTGCTGTCTGCGCAAGGCTTTTTGTCCTACGAGGCCACTGTCACTTACCCAACGGGAGGGGTGAGTGAGTGAGCGCGAGTGAGCGCTGCAATCTAGAATTTGACCGCTGATGTCACTGTTACTCACCATTTTTACACACTGAGGCTTTAAACAAAAAGGATCTTACTCTCCAACAGCAAGGTCTATCTCTGCAGGGATCCTTTCCTTAATGTTATCAGATAACGTTATCACACAAAAACATTGGAACACTTAAGTTTCCCTTTGACAAATAAGGAGTGCCATCAGGGCAAACAAGCGGATCTCCTCATCCATTTGACAAATTGACACAAAATTTGACAGACAGTCCTCCAAAACTTTTGGCTGTTGTGGCTCACCACATATTAGGATGTACATTCAAAGTGATTGTTCAGTCACTGTAAAATCCTGTAGTCTGACAAAGTTTAATCGAAATTGATGAAAGTACAGTCCAATGGCCATTAATATATCCTATTTCTACCATGTTTACTACTAAAACAATGAAAACAACTATATATCATTACAGCTAACCCTCCTCATACTCTTCCCTGTGTCTGTGTGTATTTGGTCATTAGTGACAATAGTGCCTAAACCACAACTTCGCAGTTAGCGGCTACATTTATCTCATGAGTCTTCAGTGCTTTGACAAGGCTCGGTCAGTTCACCATTGACTTGCACTCACCCTCCATTGCATACTTCATATCCTGAGCAAACAGGTTCCACATCACTTCAGCGCTGATTTTACCCACGTTGAGCTCCTGGGGAAATCTTGATGGAGGAGAAAAGGAGAGAGGCTTACTGTAAATGCACTTAGAGAGAGAAGGTATATAAAACTAAAGCAGATAAGAGTGCAGGAGTATCTCTGGAGAAGAGATAGAGAAGGAAATGTGATCAAATTTGGGATAAAGAAGAGAATACATATAGGGGGAGTATGAGCACTCACTGGTTTAGGCAGGGAGTGTAGGAGTTCTTGTCCTCCTCAATAATGGAGACGATAAGTGTGATGAGTTTGGACCAGAAGTCCAGATTCTTGATGCTGGGTCCCTGCTCCTCTGGAGGCACAGCACCCTGTTTGGCCTGGAACAGCAGTGACATAACTAGAGTCACAATAAAGCTCTATACAGACCTTTTTGGGAGGAATTTAACCTGCGATTACTTTGTCCAGTGTTTGACAGAAAAATCTGCACCCCTGGAAACAACTGGCAACCTGCAAAGTGCAGACCATATCGGTTCATCATCATCATGATATGCATTTTAGGCCATACTGCACACTTTACCGACATGTTGGACGCAGGGTCCCCACACATTCTTACCAATGAATTTTCCAAATTTTTCTATTACTTTTCCACAATATTTTACCCCATTCCCGTGACTTTATTTAAGTTGTTTAAAATGTAAAAGCCATATAGTGATACATTATTAAACACTCACTTCCCAGGCATTTGTGGATACAAACTGCTAGCGCTTGCTACCATGACTCACTCATTAGACATCCCCGCTGCTAAGTAGCTGCATATGCCAATAGAGTGCTGCAGGAATCAGTCCTTAAACCTGGAAATGAGTCAGCATCTTTTCAATCCCAGTGTTCACCTATCTAAAAGTCAATGCGTTTTCTTGAATGGACTTTTGGTTAGATGCCTGAAATATGGTCTGTGGTTAACACAAGCTTAAGAGACTGTCAAGTTTTGTTATATGACATAAAACACGTCAGTAAATGTCCCACTCGTGAACTTTGAAGTCTGGTTGCTAAGAGGAGGCTAATTGATGGTCAAACACAGCTTTATAGCCTTTTGGTAGCGATGCTGAAGTCTTGCAACCTGGGTGTAGTTCATTTACAGCTTGACGTTAGCTTTTTACTTTTGAAGACTGCATTTACGCTTTCAAAATGATAAAGGAGTGTTCATCTGTGAAGATTAATGAAGATAACTGTTAACTTCTACATCACTGTATACCTTGAAACTGGTATATCGCTGCAGCCCTACTACTAACTTTATTCCTGCAAGTCATGTGAAAACCCAAGCCAGCTTTTCCAGGTTTCCCAGACAGCCAGATAGCTCCCCGATTTGCATGCAATGAATCCAAGTGCTCATATACAGTATATGTGACTGGGGACTCGCTCTGTATATCAAGAATCTGACCTAGATTTTAGTCTTGTAAACAGAGCTTATTTTCTGCAATAAGTCAAAGTCCAATTGGAAAAATCCCATCGGACTTTGTCAAGAGAACAAGGGGGACGGAACTCCTGCATGAGCCTAGAAAAACGTCGTCCCTGATGCACTCAATAGAATGAAAAAACGTCAGGGCCACGCCTATTTTGGGGGGGATAGAAAACTCTGCAGATGTCAATTCACTTTGATGTGTGTTAGGATTAAACTTTTGACAAGTCTGTATGCATTTATTTCTTGTGAAAGAAATGTTTGTTTTATGGACATGTCTAATAACTGTTCCGCGACCTTGCATGAGCCATCCAAGTGGATCAACGACCTAACACACTGACTGGATATTGCTTACCCGAAACATATTACCTGGTGATTCAATCAAACGTGTATTTGATTGAATCACATAGTATCATTAGGCTCAGTGTTGTCTCTCAATAACCAACCTGTTAATAGCCGACTGTTTGATCTATAGGCTGAGATTTAGTTGGAGACGACAGTCTGCTGATACTATACTGTATGACTGTACTACAGCAGCCTCCCACTCAAGCTAGATCCATCAGTAGTAACTGTCACCAGAATCATTAAGCCATTTACCACACTGACAGTGAAGATTTAGTATCTTATGTGGCTCAAATCTCAGTGTGAAAGCCTTGGTTCATCTGCCACACAACAGCCTCTCTGCATCTTCCTTTTTTGTGGCCTCTGTGATGATGCAATGCTGGTTGGCCTACATATATCACCTGATACGCTACAGATGTTTTGAGATTTTTATGAACATATCTTTAACAATATTTAAAACAATGTATACTCAAAACTTCTCCAAAACATTCTGGAGAGCAGTCTTTGTCATTTCATAACTTTCCAAGGAACCCTGTGGATAATATAACCAATGGGAGATTGAGATTTAACATACATTTAGTACTCTTAATGTGAATTTTACTACTGGTATTTTAGATTGTCTGACAGAGACAGACTTTTTGGAGGGAAACCTTGCCTGTGTTGTTAACTCAACAACTCATACATATTCAGCATTTGCTGCTCAAACAGCTTTAAACACTCAGAATGTCAACTGTCTGGACGACTTCTTTGAAATAGCTGCAGATGCGCTGGGAGAAAAAAAAACTAAGCCGAACACTGCAGGGGCTGAAGAGTGAAGAATGATCTTGCAGAGATTTCAACAAAATATAGCAACGTCCCTTAGGATGAAATGTTTTATTCAAAGGGAAAAATGCTTATTTGAAATTCACGAGGGAGTCTGAATGGAGCTGGCGCTTTAATGAGGACTCAAAGCAAGTTCTAGAAATAACTGTTGAAATCCGATGCAGGAGTGATGGATGGGAGAGCCTGGCCTGCCCAGACTGAGAAGATAATGGGGACTCACCACACACAGATGCACGACACATGCGAGCACGCACTCAATGTAATTCCAGCACAGTACAAAAACCCAGAAATAAAGCAAAGGAGATAACATTTTAATTACTCCTTGTAATAGTTATTTATGAAGAAAACGGCTGGCCAGTTTTTAAATGATTAGTAAATCAGGTCTTTCAGTGAGTTTGGAGTTTGGCAGTTATTTATGCTGCTTGTTCCTTCTGAGACAGTGAAACAAATTACAGCCAAAGAAAAAGAGAAGTACATCAATCAATGGACACCTACGACAAATAATTCATGTATGTTAATCCTTGATTTTATGATAACGAAGAGAGGGGTAGAAGAAGAGATGGAGAGTCTCAATTGTAATGCAAAACTGAAATGCAAAAACAAAAAGCTGATTTATTTTGGGCAGATGATGGTCAGAAGTTGAAGTGGTTATTTAAGACTGAGGTTTTTAAGACTGCTAATTTTATTTTCAAAGCCTGGAACAGAAGGCAATCCTTGCTCTTTAAGTGAGATATATCAATGGATTAGATTAGGGTTCACTGTCCTAATCATGAGGACTGTTGTGTTTACGTTCTACGTTCTATTATTGTACATTTGTTGTGTATCTTGGTTGTTTCCAACTTGTATGTTTGATCATTGTTTCTGTTTTTGAGATAAAGTGTCTTATAAGCCCATAAGGGCTGGGCTTCTTTGAAGCATGACACTTAAATAAAGAAATTAAATCAAATATAGGCTACCCTTATTTGTTTACTTGAGTCCCAAGGATCCAAAAACAAACAGAACACCGGCACTCACAGATAAATTTACATACCTAATGTGGGCGAAATATGTTACCATTTCAACAACTTAAAAATCAGTTTGGCCACTTGGACTCACTTCTAAACATATGCTCAATTATCTTCTATTTAAATAAGATGTGAAGAGGGAGAGGGTGGGTCGTGTCCAGAGTGGGTCAGCTTCTAAAGAAGGCAAGTCTGGCAAGAGGTGTGGTCTCAGATATCTATAATTTAATGTCCATACGGCCCTTAATGTATATTTTTCTGTCCAGCTGGCTTGGGAGTATGACCTAAATACATCTCTGACTGCGTCCCAGTGGAACATAACTTGGAGGTCGGCTTTGAGATCTTCTAAATGTGTGAGATTTAGGATTATACAATATAAGATTCTGTGCAGAGCATATATATTACTCCTGATAGATTATCCAAGATGGATGACAAACATCAAGATTTCTGCTGGCATAATTGTTGCAACTGAGCTACTTTAATTCACTTACTCTGCGACTGTCCAGCTGTTAAAACACTCTGGTTAGTAGTGATATCTCTTATGTCAGAGTTTTTCAATGTCAGTTTCCCAGTGTGCCCCAAAGTATGCTTGCTGGGCCTGAGGTTGGACAATAATGTCGGAGTAACTGTCGAGCACCTGTAGACACTGGGTTGCTTATCTACACAATTTTATTGTTCCTTTAATGTTTTATTTTAATGTATTTCTCTTGTAAAGCACATTGAATTGCCTTGTGTATGAATGGTGCTATATAAATAAAATTGCCTTGCCTTGCCTTACTAAGAGACTAATTCTTCTAATCTGGAAGGAGAGTAAAGCAGCCTGCTTCACAAGGGACTCTTGGCTGAAGGAATACCTGAAATTACTACACATGGAACTGGCAGAAAAGAAAGACTTCAATAAGGGTCTGGAAGACCACTGGGACACTTTCCTTGCACTATTTAACAGTAGCCCCTAGTTTAAAAGGCGTGTATACAATGAAGGTATGAGATTCAGCAATGTATGTATGCTACGTGAATGTCACCCTTGCAATGAATGAATGAACTGCCCAGCAGTGGCCTCTCCTAAGTAGAGGGAGTGTCCGCAACAACCAGAAACATCTACACTAGCAGGTGTCACAAGCTGAAATGTAAAAACTGGACACCCAAGACTGGAAACATGTAGCAAAAGACTATAAATAAGGATCTTTGACCGCGAACACCTAATAAGTTCATTGTTGAGTCCAAGTGGACGTTTATGCCAAATTTGAAGAAATTCCCTCAAGGCGTTCTTAAGATATTGTGTTCATGAGAATGAGATGGACGCAAGGTAACTGTGACCTTGACCTTTGACCACCAAAATCTAATCAGGTCATCGCTGAGTCCAAGAGGATGTTTGTGCCAAATTTGTTGAAATTCTCTTGAGGCATTCTTAAGATATCAGGTTCATGGGAAAGGGACGGACGAGGTCACAGTGACTTTGACCTTTGACCACCAACATCAAATCAGTTCATTGTTAAGTCCAAGTGAGCGTTGGTGCCAAATTTGAGGAAATTTTTCTAAGGTGTTTTTGAGATATCAAGTTGATGAAAATGAAATGAAAACATACATTTAAAAAAATGTTTTACGTTTAGTTTCTTCTTTTATATCAAGGACAATGTAGCTTGGCAAAAAGAAAAACATTTTTTGTCTCTTATTTTCTTACACTTGGAAATATTATAATTACATGACTGTTGGCAACTGACAATTATGGTCATGCCAAAAAAAAAAAAACAACCTGAAATTTGAACATTTCGAGAGGGAGAAAGAGAGAGACAGACATTCAGTCCCACCTACACAGATATTCAGTAAATTGCTGCTTCTTACCGGGTCTGTCTGATACTCGCGGCTGTACAGCTCATGACAGTTATTAAAGATGTACTCGTAGGTGGAGTTGAGACAGGCTTTGACACAGTCCTTCACTACCTGGCTGGCTCTGGGAGGAGACTGAAGCTCTTGAACCTGAGCACAAAAGAGAAACTGTTAAAGTGGGCAAGTGCACTGAAATTAGTTCGTCAAATTATGGCATGTGAGAACTGTCTTCGTGTTCATCTTTATCAAGAAGAGAAATCAATTTAGAGTAAAGAGGAAGTTGTGGATGAAGTCCATTACAACCTGTTGGTGTAACACACTGAGCAAGATGACAGTCTGATGGGTAGATGGAGCGTATAAAATACAGAAGAAAAGGAAGGGCTGGTACCTTCATTCTGAAGAAGGTGATACTGGTGAGGAGGTCCACTGTGGACTTGAGGTCCTGCAGCCTCTCGGGACTGCTGGCAGGGAAATTGTTCTGCACAAAAAAAAAAAAATTACAGTGAGGCACAACACATGACATCACATCCATCTTTGTCCACTGTGTGTTTTGTGCGGCACGATTCAGCATAGGCAACACTTATTACTGCGTGGGTGTGCAGTGTTTCCTGAATGTGTCTGTGCATGTTTCAGAGGAGCTGTCAGTCTAATTAACACGTCCTGCTTTGTTTTTCTCACAAAGAGAAAGTTGGCAAAGAAAAGGAAGGGAGAAGTACAGTACAGAAAAAGAGGGGAAGTGATGGTTCGCTGTTGATGTTCTATCATGCAGTTTGACTATCTCGCCACTGTTAGTGGTTTATATGTGAGTGCAGACAGTACGATGGACGGCAAACTTACGCGGTACATGGACAGGTCAATGCGCAGGGAGTTGTGGAGCTGGTCCAGAAGCTTGACAAATCTCTCTTTCTGTGGGAATCACAACACAGATTTCAACATTACCAAACACATAGCAGACACACCACACTGCTTAAATATAAAAGCACTGTATAAAATATAGATGTTTACACACATCTTCAACCTGGCAGCACAGATGATCTATACAATCACCACAGTTTTAAGGTGGACACCCAAAAGTAGTGTCACCAATTCATTATCTGACCCAATGTCTCCCCTTTTGTTCCTGAGTTATAAGATATAAGTTATATAGATAATGGCCAGAAAACAGTATGATGTCACACTGAAGTTGACCTTTGACCTTCTGGATATCAAATGTCATCGCTTCATCTTAATTTGTGTGAAAATTTGTCATAATTAGTATGAATTCTTGAGTTATGGTGAAAACATGTTTTGTGAGGTAACAGTGACCTTGACCTTTGACCACCAAAATCTAATCAGTTCATTGTTGAGTCCAAGTGGATGTTTGTGCCAAATTGAAGACATTTCTTGAAGGCCTTCTTGAGATATTGCGTTCATGAAAATGAGACAGACGGGAGGTCAAAGTGACCTGGACCTTTGACCACCAAAATCTAATCAGTTCATTGTTAATTCCAAGTGGACGTTTGTGCCAAAGTTGAAGGAATTCCCTCAAGACCTTGAGATAACACATTAATGAGAAGAGACAGACGACCTGGACCTTTGACCAACAACATCTAATCAGTTCACCGTTGAGTCCAAGTGGACATTGTGTCAAATTTAATGAAATTCTCTCAAGACCTTGAGATATCTCTTTAACGTGAAAGGGACAGATGAGGTCGCAATGACCTGGACCTTAGACAGCCAAAATCTTATTAGTTCACCATTGAGTCCAAGTAGATGTTTGTGCCAAATTTGAAGAAACTCCCTGAAGAACTTAAGGTATCACATTAATGAGAATAATATGTATGCAAGGTCACAGTGACCTTGACCTTTGACCAACAACATCTAATCAGTTCTTTGTTAAATCCAAGTGGACTTTTGTGCCAAATTTGAGGAAATTCCCTCAAGTTGTTGTTGCCTTTTGTTTGCGAAGCACAGACACACGCTACTTTTTAAAGAAAATTATGATATTATAGTTTTTGTACAAGCCTTATTGTTGGATTTAATTAATGTAACAGCATTTATTGATTTGCTAAATGCTTCTGCAGCGACTCACTCCAAAGTTAGAGGCAGCGAAGCGGTCGGAGGCAGATACGTTGTTTGTTGCCTGGGTGGTGTGAGCGTAGTAGGCATTGATGTTAGCCAGTAGGGTACTCATCACTGCAGGCACACCTGGGCACATGTACTTGGATGATAGGCAGGCAAAGTGACTGTGAAAGAGGGAGAGATGTGTAAGTACATACTTTACAGAGAGCTTGATAAATAAAAACACAGAGTCAGGCTTTCAGACGGTGACGTACGTCATGGCCTGGTAGATGGACTCCACTCCGTAACGCATGGCAAACTCATCTACAATCTCCTGGGGCGTCTCCTCAAAGTAGACCTTCCATGCGTCATCCCCTTTGGCATCGGGGATCTTCACCACACCGTTGTTCTGGATATCTGTCACATAGTGGAAAAGGTTCTACACAGAGGAAAATAGGAAAGAGTTAGAACGAGATTTAAAGGTATAAAAAAAAACAAAAAAGAAGGGGAGAAAAACAGAGACTGTGGCTTTGTCAGCATTTGCACATCTCTCAGTTGTAATCAAGTTTCCATATGTTTCATTCATTGTACTAAAACACAGCAAATCACAACCTATGATCCGTTTGTCTTTAAATGGCCGTGCTACATAAATATCCATTAAACAACATTACGAGGCCAACACGTGGTGCTGTCTTGACTACTCAACCATGACGCGTTTTGCTGCTGTAAAAAGTTGGCTACGTGGTTTATGGCCACTTACGTGCTGCAATAACAGTGGTCATTTGTCTGTTAAGGTTCAGCTAATATGCTCTGTTGAGTAATGGGCCGGGTAATGACTCCATACAAGGCTGTGATTGGACTGCAATCAATCAGCAGAGTCTTCCGCACAGAGCCAGGCTAGAAATGTGTCTGATGTCATATATTGTCATATATTAGATATGCTCAATATATCCCTATTAACAGGCTATGTACCACAGTCTTTTAAGGTAGCTGTAATTAAACCTCTCCTAAAAAAGCCCACCCTGGATCCAGAGGTGTTAGCCAACTATAGACCAATATCTAATCTTCCCTTTATGTCAAAGATCCTTGAGAAAGTAGTCGCAGACCAGCTGTGTGATTTTCTCCAGGATAATAATTTATTTGAGGAATTTCAGTCAGGATTTAGAGTGCATCATAGCACTGAGACAGCTCTAGTTAAAATTACAAATGACCTTCTGATTGCTTCAGACAAAGGACTCGTCTCTGTTCTTGTTTTATTAGATCTTAGTGCGGCGTTTGACACAATTGACCATCAAATTCTACTGCAGAGACTGGATCACTTAATTGGCCTAAAAGGTTCAGCACTAAGCTGGTTTAAATCTTATTTATCTGATCGTTTTCAATTTGTTGACGTTCGTAATGAATCATCCTTACGTACCAAAGTTTGTTTTGGAGTTCCGCAAGGTTCTGTGCTCGGACCAATCCTATTTACTCTATATATGCTTCCTTTAGGTAACATCATTAGAAATCACTCTATAAATTTCCATTGTTATGCGGATGATACACAGTTGTATTTATCGATGAAGCCAGAAGAAAGTAATCAATTAACTAAACTCCATAACTGCCTTAAAGACATAAAAAATTGGATGAGCACCAATTTCCTGATGTTAAATTCAGACAAAACTGAAGTTATTGTTCTTGGCCCCAAACAACTCAGAGACTCTTTATCTGATGACATAGTTTCTCTAGATGGCATTGCTCTGGCCTCTAGCACTACCGTAAGAAACCTCGGAGTAATATTTGATCAAGATTTGTCTTTTAATTCTCATTTAAAGCAAACCTCACGGACTGCATTTTTTCATCTGCGTAATATTGCGAAAATTAGGCCTATCCTGACCCGAAAAGATGCAGAAAAATTGGTCCACGCTTTTGTTACCTCAAGGCTGGATTACTGTAACTCTCTATTATCAGGTAGCTCTAGTAAGTCCTTAAAAACTCTCCAGCTAATTCAGAATGCAGCAGCACGTGTACTAACAGGAACTAAGAAACGAGATCATATTTCTCCTGTTTTAGCTTCTCTGCACTGGCTCCCTGTAAAATCCAGAATTGAATTTAAAATCCTACTGTTAACTTATAAAGCTCTAAATGGTCAAGCTCCGTCATATCTTAGAGAGCTCATAGTGCCATATTATCCCACCAGAACACTGCGCTCTGAGAACGCAGGGTTACTCGTGGTCCCTAAAGTCTCCAAAAGTAGATCAGGAGCCAGAGCCTTCAGCTATCAGGCTCCTCTCCTGTGGAATCATCTTCCTGTTACGGTCCGGGAGGCAGACACCGTCTCCACATTTAAGACTAGACTTAAGACTTTCCTCTTTGATAAAGCTTATAGTTAGGGCTGGCTCAGGCTTGCCCTGTACCAGCCCCTAGTTAGGCTGACTTAGGCCTAGTCTGCCGGAGGACCCCCTATAATACACCGGGCTCCCTCTCTCTCCCTCTCTCTCTCTCTCTCTCTCTCTCTCTCTCTCTCTCTCTCTCTCTCATCCTATTACTGCATCTTGCTAACTCGGCCATTCTGGATGTCACTAACTCGGCTTCTTCTCCGGAGCCTTTGTGCTCCACTGTCTCTCAGATTAACTCATATCGCAGCGGTGCCTGGACAGCGTGACGTGTGTGGTTGTGCTGCTGCCGTGGTCCTGCCAGATGCCTCCTGCTGCTGCTGCCATCATTAGTCATTAGTCATACTTCTACTGTTATTATACACATATGACTATTGTCACACAAGTATACTGTCAGATATTAATACATACTTTCAACATATTGTACCACAGTAGCCAGAACTATAACTATAATATTATTACTTTCATTAATGTTGTTGTAAGCTACTGTCATTACCTGCATCTCTCTCTCTCTCTCTCTCTCTCTCTCTCTCTCTCTCTCTCTCTCTCTCTCCCTCTCTCTCTCTCTCTCTCTCTCTCTCTCTCTCTCTCTCTCTGTCTCATTGTGTCATATGGATTACTGTTAATTTATTATGCTGATCTGTTCTGTACGACATCTATTGCACGTCTGTCCGTCCTGGAAGAGGGATCCCTCCCCAGTTGCTCTTCCTGAGGTTTCTACCGTTTTTTTTCCCCGTTAAAGGGTTTTTTTTTGGGGAGTTTTTCCTTATCCGCTGTGAGGGTCTTAAGGACAGAGGGATGTCGTATGCTGTAAAGCCCTGTGAGGCAAATTGTGATTTGTGATATTGGGCTTTATAAATAAAATTGAATTGAATTGAATTGAATGTCTTTGCTGTTGGAAGTGGTCTTTACGTTGTGAGAGCAAAGCAAACTTCATGGAGTATTAACTTAAGATTCATTAGGAATAAATTTGAACATCAGTCAACTTTATTAACCTGTTCAGCATGGATCATTAGGATGACTCTGCACAGAGATACTCATACAAAGACAGTGGTAGAAAAAATACTATAAAACCCAAAGTAACAACAGTAATGAATTAATAAAAAAGGGTCTCTTGTTATTTATTTTTATTTAAATGTCCAATCTGCCACCAATGTGCAGTGTCTGTAGAAAGTGTTTTTTAATGAATAAAAAATGTTCCCTAAGATGTAGCAGCACCTTGAAGGTATTAAGTCTCAGATATGCGCTTATAAAACACAAGTACCTCAGAACAGTATAAGTATGACTCTTGAATAGATGTATTTTATTACTTTCTGTCTCTTCAAACAAACAACACACTGAGCTTACTTCATGCAAACAGGTGTACTGGACGTGATAGGGGGCGACCGTCTCCTCTCCTTTGATCTCCACATTAATGTGCATTCGAATAGCCCCGGACACAGCTGACTTGTCTGTACGCTTGTCTGTGAAGAGCACAAGATACACAGCAGCACAGTTACAGAACTGAAAACATCTAAATCAGAAAGGTTAGTTCAGTCATGTAACTGTGAAGTGACGTGAGCTGATAGCTGTGATATCAATACAGTATATGTCTTTATAAGTTCAATAGTGTGATTCAACTGACCCAGATTGTACCAGACATCCATCTCTCCGCTCAGAGTGCGGACCTCGATGATAGTTTGACCGAGGAAGTCGTCCGACTCGCGCTTGAACTTCTGCTTCACACGGGACTTAATGTCGTCGTCCTCATCCCACACTCGCACCTTGATGCGGTCCGAGGAGTTGTGGCATTCACTGAAACACACACACAGTCAGCAACAGCTAAATATAGCAGTTACATTGAGAGGTGGCCAAGAGGACCAGATGAATTACTATCATGACTCATTAAAAATCAAAAGAGTGGGAAAGAAACACCTTCAATAAATCTAAATACATTTCATTCAAACAACAGAAAGCAGATAGAAATGTTTAAATGCATCAGTGTGACAACTATGTGCCGATTCAAACTTCAAACATTCAACATTAACAGTCTAAATGGGTCCTTATGTATTAACTGTTTGAATATTTTGCAGTGTATGTGAATGACATCAGCTGACAGGAAGTAAACATAGACACATGCCGTTGCCTAACAATGCATTTCCAGTGAAACTGTCTACAGACTGAATCACTGTGATGTCATGTTAATGTAAGGCAGGTTTCTCCCTCATATTTCACCTATAACCTTACTAGTTACTGAATCACCTATGAAAAGGCTGTGGCTGAAATAAGAGCACGAGGGCAGCTTCTCTGTGTAACTTGATCCACTTTAATGTCCAAAAAAGAATGTAGGACAACTGAAAGTCGACAACAAGAGTGGCATCTCACATCTTATATATATATATATCACTCTGCCAAACTTAATCATAACTCTCATTACCTGCATGTAAGGTGTGTAATACTAAATAGTTCCAGAGCGAAATAAAATCAAGCATTATATGAATGTAATTCATTATGTAGATGCAAAATAATGAACAGAGAAAAACAATCTACTGGACACGTCCTCATGAAAATAAATCTCATCTTACACTATCAACAATCATTTCCAAGTCGAGAACTGGTGATGGATTTCTATTGCAGAGATATGCGAAAGGGTTAGCTGTAACTATAATGTTTAAAAATATATAGTTAAACAGGCGGTTGGACCTTTCTGACATTTCCGCTTTGCTTATTTTATGTACTGTGATGCTCTGCTAGCATCTTTGATGAACCAAATTTACCTGCATGAAGCAATGCAGGCCAACTGCAGTTTTATTTTTCTGAATTGGCCACCAACAAAAATCAACATCAGTGTAAGCTATATTTGGAATATTTTCTCTACTGTACCTTACACACTAACCAATTAAGGCTGCAGTGTTCTGCAAAGTAAAATTACTGTTTTTCTCAATGGAGTCTGGTGGCATGGAGATAACAGCTTTAGTTTCCCATTGGAAAAGGCTTGATGGCATTGTAAAGCGATGAAAATATTCTAAGTATAGCGTACACTTAAACTAATTAAAATGACTTAAAATAGATTTCTTTTAGGTGGCTAAAAACTAATCAGTTAAGGAAATGTTTGCTCAGTGCCACTTCATGTTATGTACGTGACATGGGGGTTTTCCACCTGGAAATTTTTGTAAACTAACATTGTGATTTGGTCTATAGGTTGAGGGTTTGGGTGATTAAAATTCATCAATTAACTAAAATAATCAGAATCGATTATTGCTTTACGTGCTTTATGAAGCCAAAATGCCAAACTGCTGGTTAAAGCTTCTTAGATGTGTCAGTTTGCTCATTTTCTCTGTTTTCTATCATTGTATCTTAAAAACCTTTGGTTGGGATGTCACTTTGGGCTTTAAAGAAATGGTGATAAGTATTTATACTAATATATGACTTTAAATTGGCTAAAAAAAAAGATAACTGGAAAAATATATTTTTAATTTTTATTAATTACATTTTTTTAATTTATCATTTATTTATTATTTAAAACATTATCGTGAAAATAATCATTATTTGCAGCCCTAACTCTGACAAATGTCACATATGTGTTCAAGAGGTCTTCACTCACAAATTAAACGTCTCCTCCCAGACAGGGTTGAGGTTGCCGTAGATGGTCTTGGTCCTCTTTTTGGTTTTTCCCACCTGGACGGTGACATAAGGATCACTGGAGCCGGTTTTATCCTTGGCTTGTAGACCCTGGGCACACAACACTAGGAGGAAGAAGAAAAAAAGTCAAGCTGGTTAGTGTGTGTGTGTGTGTGTGTGTGTGTTTGATGCAAACAGATGCCTGTTAAATCATCTGACCCTCTGCTCTACTGCCCCACAAACGCCACCTGTGCTCTCTTCATACAAACGCCAGCTTGTCTCTTTTTATAGACACAAACACCTGACACGTGCCGTCCCCCCCGACTTTGATGTTGACAGTGTCAGCCAGGTCTGTTCAAAGCTACTGTACTGCATTAATATGAGTCCACTCTCACCTGTGATGCTGATCTTGGCCGACCACTTAGAGGTGCCATCGAGCACGCTCTGTTTGATCTGCTTCATGTGGGTGACGTGGGTGGCCTTGACGATGGCGAACACCTCCTGGATGAGTTCGAAGATCTCGGGTTTGTTTCTCTCGCGGATCTTCATGCGGTCTTTGAGAACCATGATGATGTTCTGGGTTCGGTCCTCGGCACCGTGTTTGGAGCTCTTCTCTGCTGCTCCTGAAAATAACAACGTGAAAGAAAAGGATTAGATGAAAAACAAATAGAGGTGGTATCATATGAAAGCTGTTTTATAGTTGCCATACAGCCATGAGTGATAAGAATAACGGAGCAGAAAATTGCATGGAGGACACTTCTACGAGTCATAGGAACATTTAAAACAAAGAGCAGAGAAGAAGACTGTATGTTATGAAAAATGTTGCAATATTTCATGAATGAGAGGCGGACACATTTGCAGAGCTGTAAAACGCTGAGTAAAAGAGGGATGGAAAAGAGAGGCGGATGACAACAAAAGACAAATGGCTTTTAATATCCTCTCAAGAAAACAAGGAAAATAAGACAGTAGGAGGACGCTGTGCTTGGCATTGACAAATAGCAATAAGAGGAAATAGATGGACCAGATAGTTTACTATTATTAATAATAAAAAAAGCACTGACACAATGATACATCGAAAACATAAAGTCAGCAACTGGTTGTTCAGCTACTGTAAATCAATTGTGAATTGTATGCTATATTCTAGCATCCTTTCTCAGGGACCATTGCATTAATACGTGGCATCGAAGCTTTAGCTCTGATGTGTCCCATCTTGGGCCAAGCAGTATTGTCACAGTTACACTTTAATTAATAATTACATGTTGGGAAATTCACTTATTCTTTTTCTTGCCAAGAGTTAGATGAGATGATTTATAGCACTCTTACAACTGTACTGTAAACATGAAGCTAGCCTTTGGATAGAGCTAGCTGTTCTCCCTTGTTTCCAGTTTTAATGCTAAGCTAAGCTAACTGTCTCCTGGCTGCACCATTATATTTAAAGGGACAGTTCACCCCAAAGTCAAAAAACACTTTTTTTTTCTCTTACCTGTAGTTCTATTTTATCTAGATTGCTTTGGTGTGAGTTGCAGAATGTTGGCGATATTGGCCGTAGAGATGTCTGCCTTCTCTCCAATATAATGGAACTAGATAGCTCTCAGCTTGTGGTGCTCAAAGCGCCAAAACAAATGTTTAAAACTCAACAGCAATGTCTCTTTCCAGAAATCACAACCCAGCTACTTAAGGTAATCTAAAGTAACTTGTTGTGAGCATGTAGGAACTATTTTCTCTCTGCTTAACTACAGAAGTGTGCATCTACTCATGGACAAGAGGCTTGTGCTCCTGACAGTGTAACATGTAAACATTAATGGCTACCTCCTAACATAAGCTAGCTTAGTAGTGGTGGTGAGCTAACAGCAGATGCATGCCTCCACTGAGCTAGCTTATGTTACAGCTCAGCAAAGGAGGAAACCATTAATGTTTACATGTCACGCTGTCGTGAGCAGAAGCCTCTTGTCCATGAGTAGATCCACGCTTCCTCCTGTGTGGTGATACGATTGGCAGATGTAGCTCAGCAGAAAGGAAATAGTTCCTGCATGAAACTGCTCACAGCAAGGTCAGTGGATTATCTTGAGTAACCAGATCATGATTTCTAAAGAGAGACATTGCTGTTGAGGTGTTGTTTCTGGGCACACCACAAGCAGAGTGCCATCTAGTCTAATTATATTATAGGAGAACATTTACGGCTGATATCTCTAACACTCTTGCACCAGTACAATCTAGACTAATAAATAGCACAACAGGTAAGAGGAAAATATGTTTTCTGGATTCTGGGGTGAATAACGTAGAGACATGTGATGGTCATGTCTTTAATCCAACTTCTTGTCAGTGCTTTAGGGGCTACAATAAGGGTGATGTTGTTTGTCATTTCACTTACTTTGCAGACAATCAGCATTGAGTAGATCTTGGCACTTCTCGTGGCATTTGACTCCACACTCGGTACAGCGCATGCCCTGGCGAGCGATACCCCACAGTAGTCCCTCACACTCGTAGCAGTAAGTGGGCGTGGTGGCTGTCCACACCTCGAAATTGTGCGGGGTGGTGCAGGAGATGGGATAAATAAGGGCCTGGAGGGTCTTCTTGTAGACGTGACTCTTCTACAAGGGTACAGAAGAGACCTTCAGGGTCAGCAGAGTGCTCTAAAGTGACTTTTGGCGTGATGTGAAATAATTTGAATTAATATTGTTAAATGAGCACTGACCAGTTCTTCATTATGCAGCGTGCTGGACGTCAGGGCTGAGGTGATGCCTGCCTTCCTGGAGTTCTGAACCAAGGACTGTGTGACAGGAGAGAGGAGGGGTCAGCTTCTCTTTCACCTCAGTATCTTATTACTTTATCAAGACAAATCTCTGTGCAGTCTGTGAGCCTATGTGTGTTATTACTGTCTGTCTGGCAATGCTCCCCTGAATAGTTTGAGCAAAGTAGAGGCGACAGCTGCAGAATTTAAAGTGCTTCTTTTCATAAGAGCGATCAATTTGCTGTTGAGATGAGGAAACTGGTACACCTTCACTACCTAAGTGTTTTTGCAAGCAAATGGTGTTGGTGATACTTACCATAGCCTGTGGCAATGCGGGGAAGGTGGGAGGAACAAGGGAGATATTTAATATTAGAAAAAGGCAAGAAAGAGGCGAGTATTTCCACAGAGAATTAAAAGTGTTGAGATAGGCTGCATTCATTGTGCACACACTGTAGTTACTGTCATTAGACAAGAATGTTCATCCACAACAAAACAATGGGGGGAGAATCAAACAAGGTGAATCTATGTGGAAACTCTGACAGCGAGAAAATCACAGCTGCAACCAGGCTTCAGTATTTGATAGGTGAATGAAGGAGGCTGCCATCACTGCTCATTAAGCCAGACCCCACCCTGTCCGATCAATTACCTGACACACTGACAAGTTCTGAGTGTGTGTGCGTGAAAGCAAGAGACAGAGAGAGGAAGAGAAACATCAATGCACCTGCCTGTGACTGTCTGTCAGTGTGTAGTCACTGTTTCTTTGTGACAGCAAGATTTATTAATGAAGACAGTCATCTGAGCTAATTACCTTGGATTTGGTGTGTGAAGGAAAATGGCAGTTCATATAAAGAGCTGTTCTGTTCCAGGCTGACTTCTATTCAACTAGCCTCCACTACAGAACGAATCCTTGCATTAAAGCAATAGTACAGCATTTCGACAAATTCTGTCCACTTGTTCTTTTTTTTGTTGAGAGTTACAGAGCACTGAAACCCCTCTAAATTGTCTGTTAAATATTAAGCTATGGCCTGCTGCCTGTGAGCTTAGCACAAAGACTGGAAACATGGAGGAGCAGCTAGCCTGGCTCTGTTTGAAGGTAAAGAAACTCTGCCTACCAGCACCACTATAGCTCACTATTTAGTACACTAATGTTCAATTTAATTTGTTAAAGCAGGGGCAGAGCTGGGGGTGGCCTCTGAGGCTCCGGCTCTTAATGTTTTCTCAAAAGTGCTGAAATATATGCTATTCTCTAAGGAAATCTAACACAATTGAGTAAATGCTCAACGTTTGGCCTTGTATTCAACTCAGAGTTTTGAAGACCACATTTACTTGGCATTGCTGAGGATCCTTGATTTGCTAATAGAGCAGCCAAAATTATTATCACATGGATTTGTCAGCTGAACTGTACTCCAGCATAGTATATTAAATCAGGTTTCAAGATTAGTAACGTTGATTCTGCCAAATTCCTACTCTACCTCTATTATGTGACATAATAATAGTAACATCTGACAGCCAGGAGTAAGAGTAAGAATTAGTCATGTTCGACATTTGTTGTTCAGTGGGTTTGGAATGATGAAGACAGGACTCTACAGGATGATTTTTTTTTTCTTGGTAACTATCACATTTTTCCCAATCATGTACAGATTTTTAGACATTGTATTATCTTAAATGGCAAAAAAAGGTTTGGGCTGAGCCTTGAATGTTTACAACGTCTGGCTCCGCCCCTGAACTGAAGTGCAAAAATGACAAGAGGTTGGAAGCTGTTTCCTTTGTTTCCACACTTGCAGCTCCTCAATCGTCTCCTTTTCTAATTCTCAGTGAGAAATAGGGATGTCCCAATCAAGTTTCTTTTGCCTCCAATCCCGACCAAGTCATTTCATATTGAATATCTGCTGATACAGAGTCCCTACTGACACTTCTATTTTCCTAGATAGTACAGCTGCACAGTGCATACTATAAGTACATAAAAGTTATTAAAGATTATCCAATGTAGACCTATATGCTTGACAGTTGAAGAGCTGCAGTGCATTATGAAAAAAACTTCCCTCCATCCAAGCTGTTACTTTTTTATTTTATTTTATTTTAACCAAATAAAGTATAAAATAACAAAACTTTTTGGCCTTGTTGCTGTCTTGATAGTCTTGCCACCAGACAATCAGAGATCTCCGCCTTCTGATAGTCTGGGGACACTCCTTTCCAAAGTGTGTTTAACACACCGGAGAAAACAGTCGGCAACAAAGCAACGCCTCTTGCATTTTTGAAAAGGACACGCCCTCCCGGAGACGTGCGCTCCCCCTTTTCTCACCCACAAGGAAACAAACACACAGAGAGCTTGAAAATGGATGCCGAGAGATTTAATTCCGTTTTATCAAACGTGTGCTCAGTCCACAAGATTGTGGAAATGAAGGACTTACAGCGACTTTGTTTAAAACTTTTAATGCAGTCGGACTATGTTTACGAGCACAAGAGTTCAGTGAGCCACCGAAGGACCGCCCTGCAGATTTACTATTGGTTCTGCAACGTAGGGAGTTTTTTTTAACTCTGAAATTGTATCCGCCCATCTAAACACAAAATCAGGGAGAAAGACATCAGTCTTTAGTTAAGCAAAGCGTCTAAAGACTGACTTGTGAGTCTACTGTCTTGAGAGAATGTTTCTATCCCTTTAGAAGCAGGCTTTGACGCAGCCTTTGCCGCCTGAATCAGTTGTGTTTCGTTTCATGTTTATTTTCATCGTCTGGACTTCTTTTGCATGGATTAATTAAGAAATTACTCGTATGGGGCTTTTGTTGCTCAAGTGGTGTGGTGAGTGTTGTTGTCATCGGCTCTACACCGCCGTCTGTCTCTCCTGTCTCTCCACCAGAGTCCTGCACAGGTCCAGTTTTCAAGATCCGCCCCGACCTGACCCGGCGACGTACAAACCCGCACCCGAACCGCAAACCCGCGCATCAGGCCACTTAGTACCGCAACCCGGTCCGACCCGTTGAAACATGACCAGCAGCCCAACCCGTAACCCGGATTTAAAGTAATCATTTTGGGTCATACTGGCTGAATATTTAACAGCATATCGCCACAGTTAAGGTGCCAGTAAGTAAACAATGACCTGAATGAAGCAGCTCTCACAATAAAAACCTGACTTCAGCTCCATCATCAACCCTCTGTGTTCTTCTCCCATACGAGTGTAAAAACACTCGTTTGTTTCGTTTAATGCTTTTAAACTTTTAATCTATGTAAAGGAACTTTACATGTGTAATAATAGACTTACTTTCTGTCCAGAGTGACGTTCAGCAGTAACAAGCCGTCACGTGTTTTTAGAATCCATCGAGGAGAGAAGTAATCCATCAGGGAAACACTTCTGAAACATTATAAAGTGATAGTTGTACGTTTTATCCACTTATTTCTCAAATACCTAAATAATTATTTAGTGTTTTGGAAGCGGCGCTTGTTAGACGGTGGCAGCCATGTTGATTCTTTCGTCCAATCACAAATTGTGTTATTAGATGGTGAAACGTGTGTAAACAGCTGAACCAATGACCGTTGCGAAATAGCGGAGGCGATCCTCAGGGAGTAAATAATGACCAAGATAGTTATCTGTAGTTTACCAAACTAATGACTGATGTGTTTATCTAAAACCCGCGATCCGACCTGCATGTTATTTTTTCCACCCAGATCCGAACCCGGGGAAAAATGTTTTTTTAAAAACCACCCGCAAATCAACTGTGGTACCCGCGGGTACCCGACCCAGTGCAGGGCTCTGCTCTCCACCAAGCAAGAGTTTCTTGCACTGAGCTGAAATGAGTGCTCATAACTACAGTAAATAACGTAAGTTAACAGTCTCATTCTGCATTTTGCTGTCTTATGGAGTGCAGTGTTTCGCTGTGTGAGGGGCCCCTGCTCATGAGAGTTGATGATGGCTGCACTTGTGTTGCTGTGCATGAAAGCTCTGTGAGTAAAAAAACACTAGGTCACGTAAAACAAAGGCCCGAACTGGACTCTATATAGCTCAATATAGCAGAACCCCATCAGTTGGTTGGCCCCGATACTGGTCTTTGAGATCGGCTTGGGACATCCCTAAAATGTCAATCTGTTCCTCCCTTTTTTGTCTTTCTGAAAACCTGAAACATGATACCTTTTGTGTCTATCCATATTCTGAGCTCATATATATTTTAGTAAAGGTAACACAGCCATAGTGCTTTCTAGGTTGTGTAATAGTACAAGACACACTGGGGACGTGACTTGTATGAATGAGTTACAGCTTTCCCTCCATGGATTAAATCTCTCACTGTCTTATCTCTAATGAGGCACTGGTAGGGAGGCACGGGGATGATGGCAGCATGGGGTTATGAAAGGTCTATTACATGACAACAACGAGCAAACAGCGGTGCCCGTCAAAGGAAACCTCTGGATTCGCCAGTGGTCTATTTGCCCTGCAGCACTTTCTGGGGTCTGTTAGCATAGTGGACATAGTGCAGTGGACAAAAGGACAGTGAGGAAGAGAAGTAAAGGTAAAGAAAGAAAATAGGTAAAGAGAATAAGATGAGAAACTGCAGCAGAGAGTCAGACAGGAAGCAAGAGTAGGTTTAGTGGATGAGAGCTCTCACTGGTGAGTGGAGTGATAGATGGACTGGGGAGATGTGAGACTCTTAGTCAGGGGAATATAAAGAGATTAGTGCAGAAACTCACCAGATCTCGGACGAGAGGCATAGCTTTCCTCTTCCTGAGGTCTGGCATGCTGTCAATGCTATACAGAGCGCCACCCATCCTGGACACAAAACATGCACAGATGTGCAGGATTCAACACCAGCTATTTTTTCAGCTACAGTTGTTAACTAGGACCTGGACATGACGAATCAATTAGGCGAGAAATGCATTCAGACATTAAAGCCATGGGCTTGGCTTTGGGTTGGTAAATTATAGATTTTCAATGACCGTAGTAGTAACAGCGTCATGGCTACTTACCCTGCTGATAAAAGCAGAGAGGCGATGCCAACACTTTCTCCTCGAGCCTGAGGAAAAAGAGAGATATGATGAGGAAGAGAGGCAAGCAGGTGCCATTAGAGCTGCGGCTGGAAAAATGAGAAGCATAGCACACTACAGCACTGAATTTACTGCTTTTATATACTGAGAACAACAAAATCGAGAGACACTTTATGGTGTTTCTTGGCAAAAAGCACTATTTCAGTTGCTGAGATTCACGAGCAGCTGTAGCCACAATGACGGTAATTGTACCGAGAACTCACAAATGAATAATACAACAGTGGTACAAGTGGGAGATAGAAAGAAAAAGGGAGAGATGAGGAGAGCGGTAAAGCTGAGTTGTGTCTTTTCTGAGTGAGTGTGGTGATTATTGACATCAGCAGTGACTTCTCTGTGTTTGAGAATCATAGTAAAAGTGGATTACAGCCAGATGGCCATCCGTGTAATCACTCTTCTAATTCTATCTGCTCTATTATTGAAAGACATGTTCTTTGCCTGCCTGCCTGTTCAAAGAATGACACGCGGCACTGATACTTACGTCACACTGACGAACAGAAATACTCGTGATTGGCTATGGAAAAAAAAACAACTCAGCAGCTTCCTATGTGCTGCTTAGCTCCCCATAAATATCTATGAGCTACACAGGATGTATAAAATATAAATTAAGACTGATTAATTAACATACTACTGGCCACACCCACCTGAGCGTCTGCTCCAGCCATGGGTACTCACAATGGACTACATGCAAATCGCTACGAGGATGGCAAACAACTGAAAAGAAAATAATGAAATGGCAAAACAGTACAAGGGGTAAACAGAAACTATCAATTCAACACAAGACAATAAAATCCACAGCAGTAACCAAAAACTGGGAGAAAACACAGTAACAGTAGGACATGCAGGGACTGATGCAACAAGTCAGTGAGCTCAAACAGTAGACGTATAAATTAAACCAGAGCAACAACAACAACAGAGGACATGTTACCCACTTTTATGAGCGCAGGCTTAATTTAACGGACAATTCACCTGTCGCACACAAAGGTACACGAAGAAACACACATGGGCTGTACCTCTTGCAGCTGTAGTCGTACTCGGCTGAAAAGTCGAAGCCAGTTGGCTTTGGCTCTGGCAGGACCAGGTTCCATGATTTCCCTCTTTGGGAAACTAAAAGAACAATTGAAGAGGGGAAAATTGTTATCTATAGATGTGTTAGTGCGTGCTCTATTAGCTAATGTAGTGAATGTACAGTAATTATGGAAATAGATATTGTTGGCTAAAGGTGGCCCGGATTCCACCAAGCAGTACGGTTCAGTTCAGTTCGGTACGCTTTTTTTTTTCCCCATTTCCACTGTGAAAAGTTGTGGATGGTACCAATGGAACCGCTCCGTACCGTCCCCATGTTTGGTCCCCCCTCTGTTGGGGTACCTAGCACACAGATCTGGTACTAAAAGGTGGAGCTGTGAACACTGCAGTCTGCTGATTGGTCAGTAGAGGACGGTCACTCTGCTCAGGGCTGAGCTGTAGCTGGTTTTGAGGCTCATGTAACCACCGTTCATACTGTGGAGAGTTTTATTAGTAAACTGTTACTATAAAATGAAAGGATGTTTTGCTGCCTTTCACAGCAGCTGGAGTCTGAGTTAAAGAATAACATAATTCACTGGGCCGACTGCCAGGGACTTTTAAGGTGGAACGCCAACTTGTAACGTTACTCAATGTATGAGTTGACGTGAATCAATCAACACACCTTAAATATTCCACTATTAGTATATTACACTTTTAGTAATGAGTGGATCTGTTCTTATCTTACGTGAACTGCATATATTCTAATCCTCACTCTGAGAAAAAAACAAAAAGTGTCACGGAGCGTCGTTCCTGTGGGCTCCATCAACACTAAACCCCTGAGCTTGCCTGAGAAGGACTAAATGCACAAACCCGCGATTTTTACATATCCCATGGAGAGAGACTCTCGCTGCAGCCTGTTTTATTTTGTTCTGAAAATGTTGGCGTGCAGCCTCGTTCTGTGGACGATAATGAGGTGCAGACTTCCCTCTGTGTCATTGATAATGAGGAAATACAGTGAGTGCTGGACGGAGCAGTGAGTGACAAAAACCCCGCCCACATTTAAGTGTACTGTTTGCAGTAGCATGTCTGAAGGGTTACTTTTGGTTCCAAAGGTACCATACCTTAAGTGTTGGTGGAAACGGGGCTTAACATCTATCTGTGAACGTGCTACAGTGTTTGTATATGTAAAATACAACATAATGCATTGTTGTCAGCTGGTATTGCAACCAGTGGCTAACCTGGCTTAAAGTGGTATTGTTAACAAGATCTTGGTTTTCTGATTTGTTGCACTTGAATGCGATCAACTCAGGTGTGACATCATTCCCAGCTCCGAACTTTGACTTCCAATGTACATGGAAAGCAGCAGAAATGTTTTTTTCCCATCCCTGCCCCTTCCTCCAGTGTCTGTTTCCTATGTTCTTCTTTTGGATAATTGTCTGTGTGCTCACCATTGGTTGTTGAAGTATGTATACCAGGGTTTCCACACATTTTTACCAATGAATTTTCCAAACCTTTCCACAATTTTTCAACCCATCTCCATGACTGTATTTAAGTACTTTAAATAGGTAGGCCCATATAGCAGTACAGTCATACATGATTAAACATGCACCTCCCAGGCATTTGCGGATTATAATTTATATAAGTTTGTATCCAATTATTCCTTGAATGAAGGTTTATTCCTCTGCCGTCATGCTCCCTCAGCCCTCCCCTGCACAAGTGGATCAATGAGCCAACACAGTGCCCGGATATTACAAATACCTGGTGATTCAATCAAATCTGTAAATTTGATTGAATCACCAGACAAAAAGGGGCAGAGCCTTGGCAATGACGTGATGCTGGTCTGATTTATGTGTGCCAAGTGATGCAAGGGTTTCCAGGGTTACGCAGTGCAGCACTAGATTGGAAATTAGTAATACAAGGAAGATATGTCGCATAAAGTTTGGGAATTTTTTTGGAACATACAACAATAGCCAAAAAAGTGTATTTTCAAGGCCTGGAAAACAGTCTCTGAAATTTCATAACTTTTCCAGGAATTTTATGACCCTGAGAATCCTGGTATACTGTATCTACTGTATGTGCTTATTGTTGAGTAAACTGCCAGACAAATGTCTTTGTGCCAAAATGCTCAGTGTCAACGGTGTGTGAATGCTTATTTTATTTTCCCTGTATGAAGCTGATAGCATGCGAACAGTGTTCACCTTGGAATAGGTGGCTCCTCTGTTTTCTCCGTAGGAGCTGGGGGGACACTCTCTGCTGCCGGAGGCTGCTCAGGAGGTTTAGGTTCTTCCAGTGGCACTCTGGACTCGGGTTCAGGCTCCAGGGGCTTGGTATCTGGAGCTGGAACCTGTGATGTGGTCGTAGGGGTGGATGTGGTGGTGGTTGACAGAGCTGGCTGGGTGGGTGTAAATGGAGGCTTGGTGGATTCTGCACTGAAAGGGGGCAATGTGTCATCCTGTGTGACTGGAGGTAGACCAGGAGCTGTGCTGGGGGGTTGGACCTGATCTTGGGCCGGCCGCTGCTGATGCAGCGACGGCTGCTTCTCCAGAGGTGGCCTGGTGGAGGCAAGACTATCAGAGGGTGGCATCAGGGTGGGGGCAGTGCTTGTAGGTGTGGGGGTGTAGGGTGGCTCCTGGTCTTCACTGAGTGTGCCGTCAAGTGGATACATATCTTCATCTTCCTCGAAAGGCATGTCCTCCTCATCTTCGTAGTTGTACTCTCCATCCTCCCCGTACATGTCGCCCTCCTCTTCGGCGTACAGCGCCCCCTCTTCCCCTCCATCTTTGAGGTAGCCTCCCTCATCACTGTAGACGCCTTGGGGGTCCTCACCATCCCATCCTGGGGAATCCTCTTTGCCGTAGCTGACGGAGGAGTGGCAGGAGTGGTAGGAGTCGTTTTCATCGTAGAACTCTGAACCTCGCAAGCTCTCGCCGTCCTCAGCAACAAACTCCTCACTGAGCTGAGAGCTGCCTCGACTCAACTCGCCTGACGAGGCGTAACGACTGTCTGTGGGACTGGAGGGAGGGGGAGACACAGACACCTGTTACATAAACACACTCATGTAGGTTTAAAGGTAAACTACGGGAGCTCCCACATTTGCACAACAAGGAGTTTGGCTGTCACAGTGACACTTAAGGAACTTGTGGTGGGTAGGGGCCAGGGAGGAAGACAGCTAACCAACAGGAACAGATGACCTTAAAACAACCAATAAGAAAACTCAGAGCGGGGGGGGGGGGGGGGGGCTGGGCTAGTGATGCATCTATGTAACTGCAAGGGGAATCATTTCTTTTAGTAACGGGCACGGTGATTATGAATAGTAGCTCACACACAATTGAATACAGAAACACACACCATACAAAAGCAAACGATTAGCAAAAACATAGGAGCACATTTGTCATAAATCTAAAAATATAAACAGACATATTCAGTGAGCCTGGGAAGGTTGAGCGGTAATTTATTAGCGTTGGCAGAACAAAAACAGTCTCTTTCTGCAGATAAATAAGTGAATAATATGTATTCACGATGATGAATGAGGCTATTAGACACTGAGACAGACCATGAGTCAGAGAGAGATTTGAGACACATGCAAAAACACTTTCTCACACACACACACACACACACACACACACACACCCATGTACGCATACGCTCACACACTTTATCGTTTCGTCTCTATTGATTACAGTCATGTGGGTTCAATAATGCATGATGCAGGAGCGGAGGGAACCAAAGGGAATACACAAGTATGGATGAATGGACACATAAACACTCAATCACGACACCCCTGTTCTTTTCTTTTCATCACCTATCTCACCGTCTCTCATCCAGCACAAAGAGCGACACAGACAGGGACAAATTGCATAATGTTTGGGTCTGAATAAACGTCGGCCTTATTTCTTAGCAAAGAATAAATATAAAACATGATGAAATGAAGATGAAAATGAACGTAATCTGTTTCGGCCTCTCTGTTAGGGCCTGATTATGGGGCCTCCTGCTGTCTTACAAGTGGAAATTTAATGTGTATAATTAACAAGTGCGGGACAGCCAGAATAAGACAGGACTCTTTTTAAAGTCACATACAGGATAAGGCTGTAATAACAGGCTGCCGCGCACAGACACACAGATTCACACAGGCTCTTACACAAACTCCAACCAACAATTAACCTCTCTGTCTCAGAACAACGCACACACACACACGCACACGCACACACGCACATCTTGTCAATCACTCACCCACACACATAAACACAAAACTGCGCAGAACTTATAAGAGTTCAATAATGGCAAAGATGAGTATGATACATCATTTGTGATTCTGAGTTGTGATTCTTCACCAGGAACACAGTCAATATAGATGCAGGACCAGAAACTTTCTATAGAAAGTATAGAATATACATATACAGAGATAGGATAAGAGCACATGCATGCAAGCACAGCGAGCGAGGAGGACGGGACAAGTCCACCACTGACGTCACAGCGAGACGGAGTCACAGGCCGGAGCAGGAGAAGGAAGAGGAGGAGGAGTTGGAGAGGAGGTACAGAGACCCACCTATCGGACAGTGAATGCCTACTGTCTAGAGAATACTGACGGCTGGTGCGCCGGCTCGATCCTGAGCCTGAGTCGATATCGCTGCGCCCGTTGGTGGCCGAGTCTAAACTATCATAGTGTCTGGTAAGAGGAGTAGGGAGGGAGGTGGGGAGGAGGGGAGAGGTGGGAGAGGAGCATCAGTAGAGCTCAGCGCAAATCTTTCAAAGAAAGCTCTAACCAAACTGAGTCTCTGCACTGGCCGCTTACAGGATAGCTTCACACTTTCTTAACACAACAGTCTGATGTTCATATGAACACTGAGGCAGGATGTGATTGCTGTCATCATTCCCTCTGTTCATACTGGCCATTAAAAGATCACTTTCTGTTGTGCTCACAATGTAAATGACGGTAGAAAAAAATCCAGTTCTCCAAAGTTCATCTAAAGTTAATTTGAAGCTTCAGCAGTTTGAGTTAGGTGATTCAACTGGGTGTCTTCTGTCTATTTATTGTCTTTTTAGTGCAAAATTTCCTCTTTGTGTTACCATCCCTCCCCTGCAGCTCAACAAGAAAACACTGAGACACAAAGAGGAAATTTTAACTCCCTCTTTAACTTTGGAATATACCCACTTGATTTTGTCCCTCAACACTTAAATAGGAGGAGCAAAGGAAAGGATCTTTCTGCTGTATATGCAGTAGAGAGGCACAAATATTTTTTAAATTGGTGCTGCATGACCACAGAAACAACAGAGAAATGGGTTTATTGTGGCGTCTACAGTGACACGGGCGCTACAGTGGACTGTCGTGGGGAAGAGGGAGCTGAGCTGGAAGTCGAAGCTTTCAATTTACTGGTCCATCTACATCCCAACCCTCACCTATGGTCATGAGCTCTGGGTAGTGACTGAAACACTGAGATCGTGGATACAAGCAGCCAAAATGAGTTTCCTCTGTGGGGTAGATGGGCTCAGCTTTAGAGATAGGGTAAAGAGCTCGGACATCCGGAGGGAGCTCGGAGTAGATCCACTGCTCCTTCGCGTAAGGGGTCAGTTGAGGTGGTTTGGGCTTCTGATCATGATGCCTCCTTGGCGCCTCCTGTTAGAGGTGTTCTGGGCACATCCTACCAATAGGAGGCCCCGGGGCAGACCCAGAACAGACTGGAGGCATTACATATCTCATCTGGCCTTGAAACGACGCCTTGGGGTCCCCCAGGAGGAGCTGGAAAGTGTTGCTGGGGAGAGGGGGATCTGGGGTGCTTTGCTTGGCCTGCTGCCCCCGCGACCCGGTCCCAGGGTCCCAGATAAGCGGATAAAAATGGATAGATGGATGGATGAATGAATGGGTGCGGCATTCACTTTTGCTCAAGAGGTAGAAAACCTACAACTACCAGAATGCACTGTGCCACACTGGACCAATAAACGCTCCCACTGGTGGGTGACTTAGCGTGAGTTTTGACATAGGAAATAATATGGAGGGCGGCTGGTGGTAACAACACTGCTTAGTTTCACCACGTGTGTGTAATTTCAGCCCTCGTAATTACAATACAGGAAACAGTATGGCATCCACTTCCTGTTCACAAATTCTCGTATTACAGCCAAACAGTACACTACAATATATTTCTGAAGCCATTTTAGTCATGAAATGGGCAATGCAGTAACATAATCTTGGTTTATATTTAATCGGCACTGCCAGTTTTGCAGTTTGATCTGAGTTTCAGACAGAGAAGGGTGGATCTCTCTCTCAATCCGCTTCTATACATTTTGTGTCCGTGGTGGCGGGCATACAAAAATGCAAAAGTATAATCTGTAGTTGAGCAACAGCCCTGGAGCCAGCAAAAATCTGCCAGAGTACAAGTTTAAGCTGTAACATGAGCAGGTTTACCACAGTTTATTTGCACATAGTACCCACTTTGTTATGACACAGAGCTGGTTAAAAAATTGGCTAAGTACCCCATAAATGGCCATCATGAATGGGAAGAATGATTAAAGCAAGCCAGACCTGCTTCGATGCTCATATAAACATCTGACTCTTGTTTAAAGACAGACTTGGAAAAACTGTGAACTTATCCTTTAATTTTCTGCACAAAGACCTCTCACTGAGTTTGAACACTTGAAGATCTGTGTCACCCATCTAAATCTAACCAAATGAAAATGTCAAACTTTCTGTTGCAGCTTTTCTGAGCAATGCGTGACATTCAATTATCTGCCGCCTTTGAAACAAATGTTGAGAAAGTCATTTATTTTCTCCACAACATGTTAGCGCAGAGGAGATCACATGGGGTTTCTGATGCTCACACGCTCAACATGCACACAGAGATGCAGGCACGCACGCACGCGTTCACACATGCACACAGAAAAGATAACCACAAAGGCCCACTTCATACATGACCTGTATACAAGAACTGCGCGCCCCAGCGTGCTTGTATACACTGAGGCCAGGGTTATTCTCTAGAGGAGGAGAGCACAGTGGGACAACATGTTACCATGTACAGTACAGTGAAACAAAACAAGGCTGCAGGGGCTGAGCTGTCTCAAGGCTAAATGCTAGACTTCAAATAGGAACATTTGTTAAAGATGGGGGCGTGTGATATTACAACTTCAACATTAAACACTTTTGTTCTTTTGGTGTTTCTCTCTTCCTGTCTCAAAACAAAGCCTCTCTCCCTGTTGCTTACACATTCTGACATCCCACCATGAAAAGGAAACCACTCAGTATCAGCTGTGGCTACGTAATGGCTGTAGGACGCTCGTTACCTCATGGCTCTGTGGTCGTAGTCCAGGTCGTGGATGTCGTCGCCATAGGAGTGTCTGTATTGCTGGTGCCTCATGGGATACTGGTGCATGGAAGCGTTTGGCTGGGAGGTGGTGTAGTAGGGAGGCGGGATGCTGTTACTGGTCTCGCTGCGGTAGTCACTGTCCCTGTCGTCCACGGCGCTGTCTGGATCCTCGTCTGTTGACGCAAACAAAGTTTTGAGAAACAAAAATGATGCACAATGATGTCAAAAATTATGCTAATAGTGTTTATTGTGTTTTCCATAATAATGGATGTTGTAATGTTGTATTTCTACTCGAATTAATTTTTACTTTCCTTAATAGATACCTGATACTTTCTAAAAGATAAAGTATTATCTATTTACTATTTTATTTTTGACTGATGTTTAATTCTAGCATCTTTTTAGGAGAATATTAAAGGGACACTGCCAACTTTCAACCAGGTCTGGTCCTAGCAGCGCCGAGAGCTCCGCACTCGTGCTGTGAGCAGAAATCTGCTGGATGAAATGAAATTTTGCATCATCCAGCGAATTTCGGCTGGTGAATGGGCAGGAAGCTCCGGGAGCTGGCAGCAGGGGGGCACCTTAACATCGTTCATCTGCACACTCATTCAGTCTCATTAAAATCATTTTGATTAGAGAGTCCAACTGAACTGTTAACATGCCGGAAAGCATTTAATTAGAATCCAACGTTTTTAACTTGAGTTAAGTGCTACTGGCCACTGTGAAGTGTCAAATCTGCCGGAAATATAACAGAAGTAGTAGGGTTTTTTTTCAACCTTATTGAGAAAATAAATTCAATTCATTAAATACATAAATTATAAAGGGAGAAGAAGTGGTTCCACCTATTAATACAACTTAGTAGTAAGTAATGTTAGTGTAACTAAGGTTATTTTCTGTAGCTACAAACTACAGATGTCCTCTAAACACCTCACACGCAGACTAAATGTTACAATATACTGATGTTCCCAAAACATCTCGTATGCAGGCTACTGCTACCGGTAGCGATAGATGATTGCTACGTCCAGCAACTCCACACTGCAGCCTGTAGCAACAATGCTACATAAGCTTACTGTTTCAAAATCAAAGAGCTCGCATAAGATCGTAGCTCTAGCAGGGCGTTTTTTTGAGCAATTCTTTGTCAAAATTATCAAAGGGAGGCACGTAGCTGTTGCAGCATGTCTGTGCTGCGCGCACTCCAGGTACGTCACCTTCCCCCAGGTAGGGCAAACGGATTATCAAAGGTTTACCCCTTCCATCTCAACCCAATTGAAAATGCCCTCTGATCGAGCTGTTTCAGGCTGGTCTCTTCTAACTGAGGTGGTTACATGAGGAATGTTTATTGCGACTGGGCCATGTAAATGCACAAGGAAGACATGGTTGAAAATCTTCAAAATGTACCTTAAACTGTAAATTTAAATATAGTTTATTGTACAATATGTAGATAAAAAGCCTTCACCAAATGCCACAGTTCACTGTATTTAATTCTACCAGCTTGACTTTAATGTGGATATGAGCTAAGAGGAAGTTCAGAGAGGACGTGTGCACGGAGAAAAACTATATTTTCATGGCAGCTAATGGTCTCCGAGGAAAACTACACAAAGAGATCATTACATTAAGTGAGACATGGACAATAAATACAGAATTACTCCAAGTCATTAGCAGAGGCGCATGAAAGAAACTTACTTTGCTGATCTCCCCACAGACTCCAATTACCTGCGAGGAGATAAAGGGTTGAGAAAACTAAATTAGGTTTGGGGCCATAAATTTAAAACATCAGTCGACCGCAAAGCCAGGTAAACAAACATGCAGAGACGTGTAGCCCTGAGAAGTAATTATTTTAAGATGTAAATATGTGTGCAGAGGGTTCATAAGTTAGTGTGTATGCACATGTGTGTGAGTACAGAAAAAGCACAAGGTCTTTAGAGAAGCTCAGATCAGAATCAGCTTGTGCTCAGATGCTGCTGGCCTCGGTGCTGCCAAGTAACTAAGCACAGAAAATACACACATGCTGTTATCATCTCTGCACAAACAAGCATCATGCCACCATCCAAGCCCTCTGTCCATGGATTTATACTATACACACTTGCTCCCTGTGTCATCATCACTTGACAGGCAGACAGTCAGGGCAGGGCAGCGTGTGTCTGACAACCCATTGTATGTCAGTTCACATTCATCAGACATCTAGCACCTATAAGTCATTCTACTCAGACAGCCTTGCATGCATGATTCGTCACATCAGCTTTCCTCCCCTCCTCCTTTGCTTCATCTATCAGCCTCATTTCCACCTCCCGTCTCGTCCCGTTATGTACGTTATGTCAGTACGGTGGAGCAGAGGGGGCGAGGAGAAGAAAAAGAGGAGGCATAAAAAGGACACAGCGGGGGACAGAACAGGACGAGGTGGATGCAGAAGTGGCTTGTGACACTCACAGCACTGTGTGGTTGGTGCATGGAGTGGTCGCTCCTGTTCTTCTTGATAGGCATACTGGGGAAAAAAACAACAACAGCAACAGACATCTTAGGAAATAAGATCCAGCACTTCTTCTGAGGAACATTGCAGAGAAAAATATTGACTCAAGTCTGCTGTTACTGGCAGCCATGGAGTGTAATTAGAGAGGGTATGGAAAATAAAGAAAGAGGTGGAAAGGAAACAGAAGAGAAGGAAAGGGATTATCAAATAAAATACCTTAAGAAGGAGTAAATAGATGAGGAGATATAGATGACAGATGGTGAAGAGTATGACAGCATATTAGGGCCATCGTAGGTAAAAACAAATAAGAAAGAAAGAAAGAAACAGAGCCAGAGGATCGAAGGAGAGGGTAATATTTTGAGGAAAAAAAACAAAATTTTTGATATTAAAGTCGTGAATTTATGAAAAAAAAACCTATATGTTCTCTGGGATTAAGGTGGTAAGTTATTAAGAAAAGAAAACCCCTTGAATATTCTCTGAAATTATAGTCATACATTTACGAATTTTCTGCCAGAGTTGTGTGACATAGAGAGCAACAGAATTCATGTAGTGAAGAAGTTGTGGTGGATGAACAGTATAAGCACACAACTTTCACCCAGGAGACTGGAGTTTGTGTCCTGTGAATCAATGTTGGCTTATTATTTTTGGACTTAGTTGACTTAATTGTTTTCCGTTTTTCTGGATTTATATAATGCTGCTGAATGCACACTGTGTACATAAACTTTAGCAGAATAGCTGATATAGACCTATAAATGTCATATTTTGATGTTGCTAGGACGCCCAGACAGGACGTTCGGCTAACGGCCAGGTACCACAGGTGCGTTGGTTGTGTAAGTTCTGGGACGCCGTGTCAAGTTCTGCCCGGTACATGCATTGTCTTCTTTCAAATTACACCTCCGTTTTCACAAGAAATTTCCCCTGACGCTGCTGGGCGCAGTAAAAACTATAATAGCGACCAGCTGCGTATCAAACGTTAAAGGACAGCTTTTTCGGCGGTGTCTGACGCCATTAGTCACTGGCCAAGCACCGCATTTCAATGACTTTGGAGTGAGACCAGGTTGACCAATGTGGTTCCTTGACAAAAAACTTTTTTCCATGTTTTTTTCTAGTAAATTTACCACTTCATTCTTTTTTTCTTGTAAAGTTTTTGGAAATCTCAAATATTCATATAACTTTGTCCTCAAAATATTACTCCCCTCCGCAGGCACCATAATGTTTTTAAAATGATTACATACAATGGGCCTAATACAACTTCACAGAAGAAGGCGAGATGGGAATATAGAAAAGAATGAAATTCTTACATCTTGATCTCTCATGGCATTTAGTTGTTCAAGTTTCTTGGCCCAGTATCTGGCTTCTTCCTCAGGAATGTCTGCACCACACAACACAAACACTCAACATGTAGCTCTTCACATCACAGCACATTGAATACTGGACATTATAGACATATACCTCTCTGTATATTCATCTACAAGCACTGGGACAAAACCATAGAGCAATCACAGTAATCTCATGTAATAGCACTAGAGGTAGTGTTAGCACATACAGTAGTAGCAGTAGTACTGGAGAATAAGTAGCAGCAACAGCATTGGTAGTAAATGTCCTAGTATTGGGACTAGCAGTAAAAATGATAGTGGTTGCGAAGGTAGTTATATGTAGTATGAGTATTGATACTTGCAACAGTAGAAATGGTATCCTTCTGTGTTTTTTACATTTTATTGAAATGTATCAGTACATCTAATATCTAGCATATATAAATGAAACAAAAGGTACGATAAATACAACTGATAAAAGGTCAAACCTAGTGGCAGTTCAAAGCGGGTGTCGAGCAGCAGCCTGTGAAAGGTCGGGTCTTTGGTTCCACAGACCTCGTTCTCGCCCATGATCGCATTGGCGTCCAGAGTCAGCCACTGGCCTGGACCATCCTGGAAATAAGAGAAGCAAACAAATATGACTGCAACTATACTTACTGCATGGTAAATATGCTGTTAGCCACACAGAACAACTGTTGTCTATTTCAAACACAGAAAATAAATTAAACAGTCTGTGGAAAGTCCTTATGGGTAGAATATTTCTACAAGTGTTAGTCTGTTAGGCTCCACAGCTACTTTCTATGAACTATTTGATGTTGCTAAAACTTAATGAATGTGAAGGTGGCATATATGCAAGAAAAACAATCAATTTATCTATTTAAATATAATTAAGAAAAACTCAAAGTGCTCTCCAAGCCTCACAAAATGCATGTGTGTTTTCGTTACCAATAATTGCATTCATTCGTCACTCAGACTGGAGTATTGGAGTACATGTACAGTAAGTGCAGCTAATAAAACCTAATGCTGGGAGCCAAAGAGAGAGGGAGTGTGTACCTCGTTGGACTGCCGTATGTTGCGCAGGGGGATCCATAAGGTGCCCACCATGGTGTCCCAGATCAGCCCTTTATTCCACACCTCCACTGTCAGGCCCAGATCCAGGCGGTTTATTTCACTGCTCGGCAGAAAGAGGAAGAGGCGGATTAAGAGGAAGAGAAATGAGTTAGGAGAAAGCAGCAGAGGGAAGAGAGTAAAATAATACAGAATGTTATTAAAAAAACGCTGAGCGAAGACAGGGTTGTATACAGACACCATATTGCACAGAGGGCTTTCAACAGAAATACAGTCTATGCCATCAGGACCTGCACTTAAATCCGATGATGGGTATGCACTGTGATTCAATCTGCAGAGGGAAATGAGTCATTCAGCATGAGGATGGAAAGAGTAGGTGATTGTCAACTAGGCTGCCAGGAGGAGAGAAGAGAGCACGGACAGGACAACAGCAGAGACTATATATGTCTGTATGACAAACAGCGGTGAACTCTACTGTACGCCTCACTTTTCCATCAACACTTGTATGCTGCACATATAGGATCTGTAAAGTGATTACAAATCAGACTGGCAGGTTATCATCTCACTAAGCATCACTCATTGTCAAGCTGAGCCTCCTCGCAAGCCTGGCTGTCTTGGGTAAAAACCTGATAATAAGCACAGCTTTGATATAAAAAGGCTTCTTTATGTTCCCTTAGGAGCCGAGGAGGGAATCGTGTTTGGCTGAACGGGCGTGTTGCTTCACAAAAGGGGAAAATGTGAGGAGGAAGGGAGCAGGAGATGGAGAGAGTGATCTAAAGAGAAGGGGAAGAAGGACTGTGCTGCTGTTTTTAGTTTAGTTCAACATGGCTGCAGTAGATTAAACATTAAGTATCCACTTTTTTTTTTTTTTATTCAGTCAACTCTCTGGAGTTATGGAGTTTAATGAAGTCTAGAGAAACCCTCTCTGCACTGGGTGTGTGAACTCTGCTGGAGCAGGTGTTGTGTCATCCCTCACTCTTCAAAGGGAGAGACAGAGAGGACGTAAGAGGAAGGGGGCAAAAATAACTCCTTTTAGGAGTATAAATGTCACAGCTGACCCTGCAGCCCTGTGTTGCACAACATCTGTGTGCTGAATTGGAGCCCCTGGGGTGACATCTCCATTCATGTGAACTGACAGTATTCATTCCTCATTTAATGCCTATATTAAAAATATTTATATATTAATATAGACTTGAATCTGCCAACTGATACTGCCACTATAAGAGGATGTTTTGGGTACTACGTCTAATCAAATTCTGAAACTGCCAAAGCAAACCTTTTAATTTAAAGGGACAGTTCACCCCAAAATCAAAAATACACATTTTCCGTCTTACCTGTAGTGCTATTTATCAGTGTAGTACAGTATGTGTTAGCGCAAGTTGCCAAGAGTGGAGGATATCGGCCGTAGAGACATCTCTCTTCTCTCCAGTATAATGGAACTAGATGGCACTCAGCTTGTGGTGCTATGTCTTTTTCCAGCAATCCTAACCCAGTTACTCAAGATAATCCACCGACCTTGTTGTGAGCAGTTTCATGTAGGGAATATTTTCTTTCTACCAATCTACACCCGCCAACCGTATTACTTCGCAGATGGAAGCGTGCATCTACTTATGGACGAGAAGGTCACGCTTGTGACTGCGTGAGATGTAAATGTTAATGGTGTCCTTCTCGGCTGACCTCAAACGTTAGCTAGCTCAGCGGTGCTAGGTGAGCTAGCAGTAAATTCATGTTTTGAGAGATGGTGGACATCTCTATAGTTGATAAAACCAAAACAACCTTGATTGATAAATAGCATTACATGTAACAAAAAACATATGTATTTTTGATTTTAGGGTGAACTGCCCTTTTAAGTACTTTAATTTCTTGCACTTGAAAGTCCATTTAATTACAGTTTCACTCTTTAAAAGTAAAGGTATATTCAAACTAAAAAGCTATCGTGCCAGCAGAGCTACGGATAAGGTAAGCAGAGAACTAAGTTCTTAGAAAAGTACTCCAATGTTTCAGCATTTCACTCCTGTAACACTAATACTTGCAAGGGACAGTTTAAAAATGATCAAAATCAATGCTCTTGGTGCCTACATTATCCACAATGCAACTCAATCGCAGACAGTTGCTCGAAGCCACAAATGTAGCCTGAAATAGCTGAGATAAGGAATGGGCCACAGAGGTCTGGTAAGCTAACTTCTTCCTATCTTAGCCTAATGGCTCCTTTCTTGGTCACATAAACTTTAACACTCTCCCTGTTTGCCTGTGTCTCTGCCACCTGCCTCGCTTCAATGGGACATATGCAACAGGAAGCAATGCTATGCAAACTTGGGCATTGTCTGGAAAAAGCCCTGTACCCATGCAACCACAACCATGACTTTGTGAATCCAAGGTGAGGTGAGGAGAGACGGCTCATTACGCCACAGGTGCTATTTAAAGGAGAAGGCAGTGAGGGGGAAAGTGATAGAAGAGGAGGAGGAGGACAAGTAGGTGTGAAGAGTAGGGAACGTAGTAAGAAATCGTGAGTCGAAATTGTGCAGCGAGGAGTGTTCAGCAACACTGTACAGGCAGATTTACAGAAGAAGATGAGATAAAAGGGGATGAAGTTGTGAAAGAGAGCAAGAAGCACTCACAACATGAAGTCCTGCTCCCAGCATGGCTGACTGCCGCGCACAGCGATGGTGGTGCTCTTAACATTCTGCACCTTCAGGGTCACGTATGTGTTAAATTTCTCTGTGAAAAGTAAAACACAAACACCATTGGTAATATTACTGTGAGATTATTTGGAACAATCTGATTCAAATAGATGATATCCACGCATCACAACTCACCTTGGGGTCCATCAAGCTTGGCTTTTTTCACTGCAAATTGAGAAAACAAATATGAAGTTATCTATAGTAGGGAAAGGCAAGCAATATTATCACACTTCCAAACATGCTAACATGCTATCCAACATTCAGTGAAGGTGTGTTTTGGGGGGGGGTGGGGGGTGGGGGGGCACCACAAGGAGTCTCTATGGGGCCCCTGTCCTTCCTCTCTTGATCCATGTCTCTCTGATGCACCTTTTGAATTTTTTTTACAGAGTCAGTTCGCTTTCTTTGCCTTTCCGTTCTCTTTCTTTTTTCTTTTTTTGAACTCCAATTTCCCTTACTTTTTTTTTTTTTTTAAAAGATTATTTTTTGGGCTTTTTTGCCTTTATTGTATACACCACTGCCTCTGCCTGTAGCCCATGTGCATGAAAGTATGGTTGACTGGTGACTGACAGGAGTGTGGCATTTTAGAGAGAGAGGAGGGTGGGCTCTTCTCAGCCTGGGACTCCTCTGTCCTCTTTGGGCAGAATGCCAGGATCTCAATATGAAAGCCTGCATCCGTTCAGCGGGAGATGTCAGGATCTCTGAGTCACAGGACCAGAAGGACAGTTTGTGCAGGTGAGAGTAAAAGCCGGTGCCAGGAAGCAGAGCGGCCACATGCCTCGTTGTCTATGTATTCCTGCATGGCTGACGACAGGGGGTGGAGGATAAAAGATGGAGTGGTGCTACTTTTTGTCTAACACAATAGTTGCTGAGGTGTCACTGCCAGCTCCTCCACGCAGGGTCCTCTGGTGGAGGTACCAGACTGACTTTTAAAACCACAGTGACGTCAACAGCCTATTCATTATTCATTCAATCCGGCACCCTGCTGATGCCTAGCATCCCCATGTTCAGCACTGAAGTATTAATATTCAGAGCTCTGTGTTTTTTTTTTATCCCTGCTGATTGCCTCTTTTCACTGATGTTACATTTTGGGAAAGAAATACAGCAAATGAGCATAATTTAAAATCAATCTAATTGGACCCCTTATAAACTCTCAGAGCATGTGCGCATGGCTGTAACAAGAATGACTTTATAATGTATGACCTGCAGCCCAACCCTCTAAAATAGAGAGGACTAAATAAATAAACATGCCCTGTTATTCAATCAAGACAAGCCTAAAGATTAGGGGAGTAAAAGTGATGCTGACAATGAAAAACATTCCGAGTCATTTTCTTAGTCAGTGACAGCAGAGCATGCATGATAATCATTGTGGACAAATTGGCTACTAAAAATAGCGTCACCCCAGCGAACCCCCCGGATAATGCTTATCACTTAAATATCAGTCTGATGCATGAGGCAGGTGGTGGAGAAAGTGGTGTGGTGGAGCATGTGCTTCCAGTCATAGCCAGCTTCAAAGTAAAATCCACATCCTGATACTTTAGGTGTTGGCAAGGCAGTCATGCCTGAATGGTGAGGAGGGGTCTTTTCCATGGAAGCCCTGAATGTACATTTGATAAAGAGGTGTTCAAATGAGTTATTTCTTTGCTTTTAAATGACAGATGCACCTTGCCAACATGCTCCTTCTCCCTCATACACTGTCTACTCCTCACCAACAACCAGTCATCGCTCCTCTCTATCCCTCTCACTCAATCACTCGCTCCTACAAGCTCCCCCTGCCATGTGGCGAGTATGCACGTGTGCTCCCTTTCTATCTCTTTCTCTTGTGCTCCATTAATCTCTCTGTGCAGCCGGATGCGGGCAGAGCGAGCTGCATCCCCAACACTAAAAATAACCACTTCACTGTGACAGGGGTGGGGGGTGCCAGAATGGGGTGTGTGTGTGTAGGGGGGGTGGGGGTGCTTTCAGCTCGCAGGCATAAGACTAAACCACCATTGCTGCAGTTACAGCACAGGAGAACGAGTGAAGGGGAGTAGGTGAAATTAAAAAAAAAAGAGTGTTACATATTTTCTGCAAACCCTCAACAGAAAAGTCCCTCCCTGCCACAGCAATTACAGAATCTCATTTTCTCTTTCTTTGCTGGGGAAAATTGGACAAATGCATTCGCTCATGCCCTGGTGCAGACGACCTTTTTTTATTTTCTGAGGTTTTTTCCAATCAAACGCTTTCAAAGAGCCCACACTTCACAGCAATTCCACTGACACCGGGCACAACAATATAAACTGGCAGATGAGGAATGCAGAGAAAAATCTGAAGATTATGACAGAGAAATAAAAGGGAGAGAAGAGACTCAAGTGAAAAATTAAGTGAAAAACAACACAGGGGGGTCGTTACGGCATGTCCCTGTGTCCTCTGCCTGATAAAACTCAGTCACACACCTGCAGCATACCGTGGGGAATATATCAATAACAGTGATTAGAGTAGGGCTGCTAGAAAAGTGTGCAAAGATGACTGACTTCTCCTCTTGTACAGACTCATTAAAACCTGCGAGAAACATAATCTGAGAGCATTAGTGTAAAATATTTACACAATCTGCCTTAAGACATATTACAGAATATGTACAGTCTCTGCAGTCTTGAAATCCTTAACGACAGAGTGTGAGTGCTACAGTATATCTACTGTATATATTTGCATTAAAACACAGTTGATCTTTGCTCCTAACTATTTCCAGACTCCCAGTAATCCAGTCATCATTACAGTAAAGCAGCAGTGTGTTTGAAATGGTAATAAGACACAGAACTAGCCAAGGATGGTTTGTTCATTTCTACTGTTGGACTCTCTGACTTCCTTTGCAAAAAAAATCCTCCCTAACGATCTGCATACATATGTAAATAGTGTTAAAAAGATGTCTGGATGAGCCTCAATGAGAGAGGGTGACACTAACGAGGACGGCTCACTCTGTTATAAAGTTATAATGAATGAATTGGCGTCTCGCTACAGGGGGTGACAGGAAGTCGTCAGATCTGACTATGCTTATTCAGCTTTTGTGGCACAGGTTATCATTTCAAAGGCTGCACCTAATGTTACGGGACGTGGAGTACACACACATGCCACATCGCTGCTACTGCAATGCCTCTCAGCCCAACTCTTGTTACCGTGCAGCTCAAGGTAAACTGTCACGCTCATCATCCTCCTTTATTTCTATAATTCCTCTCACAGCCCCTGTATAAAATCAATATAAAGCTAGCTGCAGGCATACAACAGAGTGTGTAGAAACTAATGAGAATGCCAGCAGAGACATGAAATACCATTGGGGTTGCTATGCCAACAAAGCCTCAAGACATAAAGGGACCACCGACGAGCCCGGATCTTAATCCTGACATCTGTGCAATCAGCTCCAGCACTGGTGTCAACAACATAGCAGCCTCTTCATGCACACGACGACGAGCCTGCTCCAACCTCTCGGTGCGTCTGAAGAAGATGCTCAAGAGAATCACGTTTCCATCTTTCCTTCACTGCTCCCTGATAAATACAGCACCGTATGTATCAGGTGTCTCAGGGCAAGAAGTGAGCCCAAACTGGACCAACATTCTCAGAGTGCAGGGTGCTACTTTTGGGCTCAGGAGTTATGGAGGAGTTGGGAACAACTGAGGCAACTTGGGAAACTGTTTGAGGATTTAAGAGATCTGTTTAAGGAGTAGTAAGTATTTTTCGGCATCAAATGACACCCTCTTCACAAGCCTGTCAGCTTTTTAATATGTTAAATGACAGCATGAATTTCATTTTAAGAACTTTGCTAAGAGGCAGTACTCCAAGGGAGGAAATGAATGACTGGATTTGTGTTGAATAAGTTTAAGTTTTGGTTGCCAAACTGAGATCTGGGGATGATTAAACATGAATGATACAACAGTATTTCACTCCGTATACATTTGCACCATCTCTCCACCCTGTTTCCTTTTGCACAGTGATGCAACTCAATTTAAATCATATCCGACAGCTTAAGACTTAGATTAGGTTAATAAGAAGAAACAAAATCCCAATAAATTGATGCCTTTAGTGTTTTGCTCCTTAGACAAAGCCAGACTTCACCAAACCAAACCAACATAATTTAAGATTGTAGAAGTGATCACATATGATCTGCAGGTAAACGCTCTATTGTTCCAGTGACTGAATGACATTTAAGGGCTCATCACTGATTCACTGATAAGCCCTTAAATGTAAAACATATGAGATCTCTTTTGGGTCAAAAAAAAAAAGGATAAATACTCCACCAGTGTCTGAAGGAGGAGATTTAACCAGCAGTCATAATACAGTGTGATGTGCCTGTTAATACCAATTTCACTTCGATCTATTGAAACAGAACAGGTTGTCATTATAGAGCTCAATCAATAGGACACATATGATTAAGGAATACTGCAACCAATCACGTGGCTTCAAGAAATACCCTACTGTAAAGAAACCCGGTAGGCTCGTTATATACACGCCTATTTTTTTGCTCCGCGCAATTACGCATGAAATCTGACATGCAATGTCTGTACTGGGAAATTATTTCCATTTTTTGATATGACATAAACAAACAAACAAAAACACCCCACGCTTGTGCTACACGGGGAAAACTGAGTGGATTACATCTTGTTTTACTCTGTTTGACAGCAGCTGACAGAAAGCATAAACCTACTCCATATATCGATCCGGTTGTAGCAATGGCAGGTTTTGTAAAATGAGGCTGTCACCCGAGACAGCAGTAGTAAAATATGTCAGGCTGAATCAGAGCGGAAAAAAGGAGCATAAATGAGAAATATGTGCAAAATCTACAACGGTGATTTGAAGTATTCATTATTGGGATTTGCATCTAACTGCTGTTTAATAGCGTAGCGTGTAAAAATATATATATTCCTGTGCAAAATGGCTATTCCAAATTTACAGATGAAAGAATCGGTATCCTCACAGGTGAATCCCCAAAAGCTGTAAAGATAAGACTTGGAGCTTTCAAAGCTGCTCACACCGGCAGGTCGAGGAAAAAGCAGAGCACAAGTCGTGCCAAGACACGGATCTTACCTCCAACACACAGCAATGACATTTCTTATATGCGCCTTTGGTACAAGGTCCAGTTTCTTCACCAGCTTCCGTAATTGAGCTAATCTGTGCAATTTACAGCCTGGGAACGAGTCGCTGGGGCTGGAGGTGGAGGTGGAGATGGAGAAGCCTGCCGTCGCTGGCACAGACGGGGCCTGGCAGCGCTCGTTACGCCCGACAGAAATACAAATCTTCACACTTGGAGAGTGAGCGCCAGCGTCGCTATTCCCTCTGTCTTTTTTAATGGCTGTCTGTCTAATTTTGAGACTCTTTCTCCCCCCCCTCGCTTTCTCTCTCAGCTCTCCGCTCCCCAACGCACAGCCATCTTGTTCAGCTTCAGCACCACCGCTGCGTGGACAGCTCCTGGCAGTGACGTCAGGGCGGTGGTGATGGTGTGAGTGTGGAGGGTGGAGATACTCAAACACCTTATTATTAGCCTCTCCCTTTATATTTCAACATATTCATCAATAATATACCAGAAACTCCTCAGATTATATCACATTATAGACATGGAGGTGCTCAGAGAAGAACATTGTGATTATATATATATTCCAAATATTACTCGGCCCTACTTTTAAAGAACCACCAGGATTCAAGAAGCGACTAATAATTATTTAGCAGTAAGTCAGTTAGAGGAAATTCATCTTTACATGCTGACAGCAAGTGTTAGGTACAGGGGAAGGTGTGCAGTCCCCCGAGAACACATTAATTTCACTCATCAGGCACAAGTTGCAATAACTTAATGTATATAAGTGCAACTATATCTGAAGTCATTTCCAAAATTAAATATAGACAAAACATTTTGGAGAACGAGGCAGTGGTGGGCTCGAGGACTGTCTCAGCACTGGGTGACACCCTGTACCAAGTGTTTGCTTGACTTCTGCCACCCTTTTGCACCATGATAGAGATCTTAGGGTCGAAACTGATTGGTGTTTCAATGTAAACAGCCATGTTTTTTGAATAAATACCTTTTAGTTTAATTCAAGTGCATCTGTTCCTGCTCCACGCATGAATGCTTTAAGTTCAGTTTTTCTTCCCATAAAGAAAACATGACTTAAGACTAATAGTTACATACACTTACCTTTTTCAAGGCAATAGTTTACCTATATTTTTTAAGAGGGCACAACTTGTCAGATTTTACAGTAAACTGTGGCTCTTTCACAGGATTTCAACTGGAAAGCATATTTTAAATTGTATTTTGTTTTTTAAAGCAAGTGGGTGATGATGAAGAAAACATCACTTTACACTAACAGTTACATATACTTACCTTGTTTTATATATTTACCTTTTTCGAGGCAATAGTTTTCCTAGATTTTTTTAAGTTAGCGCAACGTGTATTATTGTGCAAATGTATATTTAAAGTAAGACAGTAATGATGATGCACATGAATGAGGCAGGTGAAGCAATTTAGTCAAGTGATAGTTGACTCGAAGCAGAGGAGATGTTGGTGCCCAGGTTTACAGGAGAAGCAAAAATAGGTCATTCATCATAGACTATTAATCTTTTTGCCTCGGTGTGACAGAGAATCCCACGGGCAAAATCACTGGTGCTTAATAGTGCTGCATATTTACCACAGGTCACCCCACCTTCATATTTCCAGTAAAAACCCTTCAGCACTGGTACAGGATTCAATATGTTTTCCAGTGTGGGCCAACAGCTCCCCCTGCTGGAACACTACATCCACTGCATCTGTACAGACAGTGCTTTAAGGTCAGCTCACTAAAATCACGCTTTCAGTTCCTTTTACACAAAACTGTCATTTAGCAAACGTGAGGAAATCCAAATTGATTATTTAAACCGATGTGAATATTACTTAAATAAAAAATAGGCTTTGAATAACATATTAATTATGAATCATTTCAATCATCACTCTTCATCCTGTTAGAACAATACAACAAATTTGTATGGAAAACCCTTTCGGTTCTTTCTATGGAAACTGATGGAATATAAATAACTTCGAGGGTAATTGAGGAAGGGACACATATTCTGACTATATGATCGCTTCAGAGGAAGGGAGTCACCACTTTTCTTTCACCTCCCTTGTTTACCAGGCTGGTAAATCTCAGTGAATTATGGTCTTCTTGGTGCTAATACTGTAGATTCAGTAAAATGACCCGAACGATTGAATGGATGTAGCATCTCCATATTGACAAAAGTTTAAACATTTATATTTGTATGTGCGATCGAAGCAGCTAACTAACCTTAGCTCAAGTGGGTGGCCAACAACCTGATTCATACATTCAAAGAACTTCTATAAAAATGAACTTCTTGGCAACCAGGCGTCTAATTGAGACAGACGCTTATTGTCAAAATGTGTGTCCACACCGGGCTAGTAAAAGGGACTGGGCGTTAAACTGGGACTAGGCCTTTAATCGAATTTTTATGGTATTTATGAGAGGAAAACCTGTTGTTTTGTGGTTTGATGTTTAAAAATATCCTATGCAGGATTTTCCTAAAACAAATGTAGAGACTCACACAGAGGAAATCCCTCTGGATCAGCACTTGTGACCCACTAGAAGTGCGTGGTGGTGTATTTTTCTGCAGACACTCTGCCCTCTGCCTGTATTTTCTTATATTCTGTGTTCAGGACATTTATAGGTGTGTACCCCCGCAGTGCTCAGGTGAGGTTGGAGCTTTATAAAAAGGTAGCAAACAGGTGCCAGACTGTAAGCAGCAGGCATCCAAGAGACATAGTGCTAAAAAATGCAAATATAGCAAGGCGAAGCGCCAAACAAGAGTGAATCTGAGGTTAAAGTTAACTTTTCATAACTGACAATCCTGCAGAGTATACCTTTAACTTGTGAAGGGACATTTTAAATCTGTCTCAGGACAATTTAGAAAAGCAAAATTACACACGTTTACTTCTTGTTGGAAACATTTTCAGCATGGTTTAATGAACATTTCAGAAAATACAAATATACTTCACAAATATATAATATTCCTACAACAGGTGAAACTGCCTGCCCCCCCCCCCCCCCATTATCAATGTAAATTCAAACATGTAAACCTCAACATTTAATTTTCACCCTTTCCAGTTTCTTTTTTCATGCACTCTAAATAACACTACGTACACATTCCCCACCCACCAAATGCCAACTGGCATTTATTGTAAACTAAAAAATTAGGCTCGTCTTATTGGACAGGTCACAACAGGTTTAGGGTTGATCTAATTTTGACTTAATTTAAGCAGCTCAAAAGATGATATAACATTGCATTTAATTCCTGAACTGTAAAAACCCTCCACACCGCCACACAGATTTACATTCACAAAAACTCATGTGCATGAATACACATATTCTACAGAATACATATATTCATAAAGAAGAGGCATGTAGACATGGACTGTGTGTGTGGTGTTTGTACCCTTGCCTTTATTTCCTTTGATATAGCCACATGCTCTGTTGAATGGCACTGACTTGACCTAATACCACAGAGCCAGTCACATGTCCCTCTGATAGGGGAATGAAAGTGTCTCCAGCTGCAGCCTCCTCACAACTTCTCACTGACAATGAATTTAAGCATACAGTCAGAGACAAAATAAATTAGACATAAATATTATATGCATATGCAGATATGACAATTGTAAACAAATTAACTGAAAAATCATGTTCAGCTGAGGTCCGATAATAATGTGGATGATGATGGATGATTTCTCTTTGTCAGGCAGTGAGCCAAGTTCACTGAGCTGGCAACATAAACATCACCTTGAAACTACTCAAGCATTCATCTGTGTAACGACTCAGAGGATAACTTACACTGCGAGACACCTATAGTACCAAAACAAACAGTATTATATAGCAGTATAGTAAGTAGATAATAAATTACACTCATCTAGATTCTGCACTTAAGAGGAAGGCACTGATTTCCCAAGCTGAGGATACATGACGTTTCAGACTGACGGCGGAGCATCTAACCTCATGTTTTAAAACATGGCCTCTATATATTTGTCACAGTGCAGTGTTGCTCTGATGACATGTCATGGGCAGATGAACCATTAATATTCTCTAATTGTTTTGGGTCCTCTAACCCGACTACACTTAAACTGCTGACTAAAATTTTAGGGGTGTTGATGGTGCTAATGATCGAATCTCTTGAACACACATCTCATTAACAAGTGGCATTTAGGCTAAAACTAACAATGTACAAGTTTATGCAGTTAAGAGAGTTTGCCGAATCCGACCTTGTACATTCATACGCGCAAGCCTCACAAAAAAAGTATGAGAAGTTTAAGGTCGGTGAAGCCCAATATTTTGCACTCCTACTGATGGTGAAACATATAAACCCAGTTCAGCACACAGAGATAAACATGTCTGGTTTAAGCTTATGCTTTGATGGGAAAAAGCCTTTACCTGTCCAGATGAGAGAGGACTTCACAAAGCTTGGAGAGCAGTGCACGATGCTTGTGAGGGTTTCCTTCCAGCACTCCACTGAGACGACTCAGGTATGAGTCCAGGTTCCCATGAGATGCTGTCTCTCCTGTACCTGTTCACAAAAGTCACAGAGGAATTGAATACAGACTTCCTCTCAAGGTGAAATATTAAATTTAAGCAATGATATGGCAATCCAAATCTTATGAGAATTAGTGTTTCAAGGAGCATTAAGGGTCCTGTATAATATAATATGCTTATTTTCTTTAGTGTATAATTACATGAAAATAAGAATCGACGTGTTTTTGTTTCTTTAGAATGAGCCGTTTATATCTTAATAGGGAGCAGGTCCTCATCTATGAAGTCTGGCATGATGCACCGCCATGTTTCTGCAGTAGTCCCGAGTGGACAAACCAAACACTGGCTCTAGATAGAGCAATTCGCGTTTTTGTGCCCTTCCGTGACGAGCTGAACAGTTGGAAAAACACTGATATTTAACATGAATGTTCTTCAGAAGGTATTCTTACAGGTTTAAAATCACCTGGTCTGTTTGTTTTGGAGAGGAAGAGACCTCTGAGGATAATTAGGCTTTCTGTAAAAACATCCTGAACATCTGCATCTTAAGTTATCAGAGAAAAAAGGTGCGCACACATTATCAGGTACTGAGCTAGGGGCCCTTCTGTGATGAACCGAACAGCGTCGGAGAAACAATGATTTGTGATGTGAAACTGCTTTATTCAGTGTTTTTTACCAGTTTTAATTATCTGGTGTGTTTGTTTTGGAGAGGGGGAGACCTCTGTGGATAATTCAGCTCCAAGTAAAACCCTTTGGACCTTGAACACCGAAGGAATCCAAGACAAGAGTTCACACTTTGCTCATGAGAGAAGTTTCAGCTTGTTGCAATCCTCACTGCTAGATGCCACACACTGATCCTTTAATGAATATTAACTGTCACTTCAGAACGCTATATTACCGATGCATTTATTCTAGAGGACTACACAAAATAAATCTAACACAAAAATATAACCTGATAGCAGGAGATTTATCTAATATCCACTTGTCTTGCATTTCTCCTCTAACTAAATATAGTTGCTGACCTGGCAGGGGGACTGATGACAGACTGTTGACCAATGTGTGTTTGATGGCCAGCAAGTGTTGGTGAAGAGCCTGTGTACGCTTCTCGTCCATCCCCAGCTCAGCCTCCAGGCGTTCTTTAGCGTTGTACATGTCTTTAATATGTCGCTGAAGCACTGCGTTCTGCTCCTCAAACTCAATGTTGGCCTTACGGAGCCGTCGCAACTCAGCCTCTCGAGCTGACGCCAAAAAGAAGAGGAATAAAATGAGTTTTGATGGGAGTATAAAATAATCTCATGTGATAGAATCACACAATTTGTCAAATCTTTAGTACCTAGCCATGGTAAACAGGGTTTGAGATGTATCAGAATGATCATTTTGTTTTCAGTTTCTGTTTTACCTTTGTTCTGATCAAGGAATTCCTCTGTGAAGATAGGGATGTCGAATCTGCTTGTGAGGTCAGAAGCCTAAAGGACGCCATCAGCAAATGGAAAAGTTAGCTGTTTGAAATTTATGTGAAAATGACACTGCAGAATATATAATGAGAAGATATGGATGCGTGATGTACCTTTGATACTGACGACTCTGAACTAGTACTGATGATAACAGATGGAGTGTCTTCTGAAAGAGAAACATGTCTGTGCTTATTACAGCTCACATGGCACAGAGTAATGAAATAAATATACAGTATCTTGTTGTTCTCCCTTGTGATGTGGTGTACATCATATATATGATGTAAGTAATGCTTATTTGTCACCTTTCTTGATCCTCTTGTCTTGTATCTTGGCACTGGTGATCTGATAGGCTTCAGTCTGCTGATACTCCTTCAGCTCCTGGGCATACTGCATCTTCTCCCGTTCCGCCTCGTCGAGGTAGCGCTGTCAGTGCACAAATAATGTTGTGCTGCTTTACTGAGGGAAAATTCTGCTTTGCTAACTGATAGGTGCTGGATTATTTGAAAACTTTGGAAACTTCCGACATCTTGCAGCAAACAAATACAGCAATAACATCTGCAGTTTTCTCCTTAACTGGTTTCTGTGTGCAATTGTGAATATCAGCCCAACTGGCATTAAAGCATCTAAAATACCCACTGCTCACAGTAATGTGTTGTACTGAATATACTATGTCAAACAATACATGTAACATACATACATGTAAAACGTGAAGTATTACCTGTTTGTCATTGGGGGCTAATCGTGTCCACTCTGCTCCGAGCCTCTTGGTGATTTCTGGGAAAGGTAAGTCAGGGTATCTGGCGCGCATATGCTCTCGGCGTTCGTTCAGGAAGCGGACATATCCTGTTACTGGTGCCTTGGGACCATTTGGTAGCACCTTCTTTCTTTTCTTGCCCTTCGGCCAGCCTCTCTTCTTTGGCTGCAGAGAGGGGGAACAACACTCGTATGAAGGTAGAGCTGCTCACTCATCTGTACTACTCCTGCTTGCTCATTAGGGAATAATATAACTACATATGAGGATCGCAACTAACAATTATTTTCATCTATGTGGATGCTGCTTTATCCTGGAGTGCACATACAGATTATATTTGTAGCAAGGTACAACAACAAATTTACTTTTTTAGGAGACTGAGGTCATTTGGAGCAAACAAACAAATCCTATTATTGTTTTTCCAACCTATAATACAAAGTGTTATGCAGTATGCAAACAGTGCATGGTACAGTTGCTTCTCTGTTCAGCTTACAGCTAGACATGCTTGACTGCTACGTATCTGGTCAAAGATTGTGGGTCAAATGCTTGAGTCAAGTTTCCAAGCTGCTTAAACTGAAATAATGTTGTCTCTGTTAGGTAATAGATCAGTTTTGTTCCTCAGTGTGTCAACCTGTTACATCAGAGTGTGGCTTCTACACAGTGTCAGCGTACGTGGGTGGAACACTGAATGTAAAAGGAAAGATGAATTTGTTGCACTGCATCCACTTTTTGTAGTGTCTGATGTGTTTTGTAGCATTTATAATCTGGTTCTGGGTTTTTTTTTTTGGTAAATGTTGCTTTGTATTATTATATTTATGTAAAGCAGTTAACATCCTAGTGGGACGCAAGACAATAGGTAAAAGTGCTTGTTTGTTTGACCAAAGTCCAAAACCCCAAGATATTTCATTTACCATCACAGATGACTAAGAAGAGCAGCAAGTATTCATATTTAGGGTGCTGCGACCAGAATTATTTCAGGCATTTTGGTTTACATAATGACTTAAACTATTAATCAATGATTAAAATAGTTTCCCATTGATCTTACGTTGACCCACTCATTGTTCTCACAACATACATTCTAATACAGCAGCCTTGTGATAAATCCCACCTCACAAAGGTTATAGTGTTAGGTGTTTGTTCAACAAGTTTCACACGGGTATTATTAGTAGAAAAAGAGAGAAACGACTAGTGGCTCTGTATATACTAACATAGATCAAAATCTTGTGTCGGGTGCTCGTGGAGAGCTTACAACAACAGGATCAACAAGAGGGCAATCCAGGATCTCCGAAAAAAAATATAGAAAAATGAGGAATGTTGTAGTGGTTAAATCATTAAAAGAGCCAACATGTTTCGAGCACTGCAGGTCTTTGTCAGGGCTTTCAAACATGCAACACCGGCGTGGCCCCACATATATAGTGGCAGGAACCAAGGTATTATAATTTATGCTCATGTACGAGGCTGTTGTTGAGGTGCTATTCAATTTTAATGTTATGTAAGAGGTATTTTTTCCTGTTTGCACCCAATGTCTAATAATTTGTCCTCTCCTGTAACATTATAAGCTTTGTGAAGGTAGGATTTTTTTTGCAGGTTGGGTGTATTAGTGTGAATTACTCCTAGCCACCTCCTTAAATGGTAACTGAGTGTAAAGCAGATAGTATAACTCTGTAAACAAAGAGGTCAATCAGATTCTTCGTTGCAACACTTGACAGCCTTATTCCTACATCTAAGGAGGCTAAATTAAAGTAACTACACATCCTGTTAGTCCTGGTCAGATGTAGCAGTACCCACCTCCTCTTGTTGGGGTTGATCTGCTGAATGTGAAGGTCTGGACTGCTGTGCTGCATCACTCTGCTCCTGTTTGATGCCCCCCATGATCTCCGTCCGTGTAACTGACTGTAATTGTGAAAATGGATTTTAATCCGTTAGATTTATATCATGGGATGGAGGCTGCGCAGAATAACACGGAAGAAGCTGTAAAAAGAAAAAAAAAACCCGGTAAAATTCCGCATTATTTTCCTGGTTGGGATACCGCTTATTAGCTAACCTGACTGTTAGCAGTTGAATGCGGCTAACTGTTCACACACAACACAACCGATAATATCCCACAGAAAATCTAATTTAAACTGCTCAGTATTCACTAGGAAAAAATACAGAATACATAAGAACATATAATCGTGCAGACAATAATGTTAAGACACCCAGGATAGTGCGGTTTTAGAGAATTATTTCTACTTTTTGTGATAAACGTCTTTTTAACTCACCCGATAACGATTCCCTCGGCCAAACAGGAAGTAAACTCATCCCACCACCTGATTGGTCGGCACGGAGAGTCTTGATTGGTTGGCTGGATTGCCCTCTAATCCCGCCCTAAAACGAAGGACACCATAAAACGGAAAAGTAGATAGAGTACAAGTACCTCAAAATTGTAATTGAGTACAATACTTGGGTAAAAGTAAAGCAGTTACTTTTACTATTTAACGTCCCTATTGAGCTTAAAGTATTTATGAAATACCGGAAGCGAAAAAACAACCAGAAAAAAAAAACACATAAAAGTGACAATCTATAAACTGTATCACTTTAGGTAATAAGGTGTATTTTGGAAAAAAAAAAAACCCTTTTAATTTTCTTTTCGTTCATATGAATCACTACATGTAAGTATTTGCACTGTACTTTTTTTTATTATTTATTTATTACCATTTTGTGATATTTTGTAATGTTTATAAGATGAAAAAAAGTATTTTATCATGCTTTCATGGTATGGATGCTATTCTGTTATTGATTACATTAAACTTTGATAAAGTTGAATTAAAAGGCACGATGTATGTCTCACTTTAACATGCCAAAATCACTACACACTACAGTCCCAAATCAATAGGGCGTTTGTGCCTTTATTTTGAAGGTCCTAATCGGATGCGGTCATTTGGTATAAACGCACTGCATGGAGCTGATGATTGTATTGTTTATTTTGACCACAAGAATGATAAAACAGAATTTATTGTTAATCTACTGATTTTATTTGGTAAATTTCATATCCACAAATGTAGATTCTTGAAAGTAATCCCTGATTTCATCAGATATTCACTTGAATTTGTTGAATATATTAAAATGCTAGATTGTATTAATACAACCAAAAGTAACAAAACTGTCAATATATATAGAGATCTCTTTGAAGAAGAATAATGTAACCCTTTTCCTTTTGCAATGATGAATTTTTGTTTGTAATGCATTTTATATGTGAGTCCCACTTTTTCATTTATTTATTTTGTTCTTCAATTGTACGTTTTTACGATTGAATTGCTTGTTGAGCACTTGTCTGTTTGTTTTGTACATGCTATTTTATGAAATAAAGTTTGTTAAAATCTAAAAAAAAAAAAAAAAAAAAAAAGCTGATGATTGTATATAAACTAAATTTGATATGTGGCTTATGAGATTTATCACTTAAAGGTCGGATACTTTTATCCAAAACTGAAGCATCATCACGTTTAGTTTAGTCAGCCAAAGTATCAGATGATCCAAAATCATTCATTAAATTAAAAAAAAAATAGACTCTACCTTATTCCATTTTCTATGGAAAGATAAGTGTCACTAATTAAACAGAAATATCTTATGTAATTCATACAGTCAAGAAGGCTTGATTGCGCTTGATTTTCATTCTTCTAATATTCAGGTTGAACTGGATTAAACATTACATTAGGAATAAAGATAAATGAACTTTGTTTTAAAAATGGCCATATAAAATTTCTTCGATGTGAATTTGATGTAAATTAACTTCCTCTCCAGTTATCTAAATCCCCCAGGCAGGCTCTTTTATGTTGGCTTTTTATATAAACACAATTTGTCTCCCCACAAGCATTTGATAGGTAATAATAAAAATATAAAGTGTAAAAATAAATCAATCTTCTATGATAGTTGGGTCTAAATTAAAATATAAATAAAAATCTTATTATTACAGTATAGAATCTATTTTGCAATGCCACAAAGTTTCAGTGTGTTGTGACTCTCCGTGACCACAGTATGTTACTTCATGACTGTGTCTTAAATCACCCCCCTTTTTCACTCATTCACCACACTCCCTATATCATGTACACATGCACTGTGACTCAACTTCACACTCAGAGGTCAGACACTGAATTAAAATGGCGGATAGTAAATATAGTGCACTATAAAGCAAACAGAGAGTGATTTGGGACACAGCCTCAGTCTAATTGGAAAGTTTAGAATAGTAAGTGTTTACTGCCCTCCACTGGTCACAGTGAGTAACTGCAAAAAACAAAACTAGATTAAATAAAGCCAATCAAAGCAGCAAACACACGTTGAAACAAACAGCAAATATAATTAAAAAATAACGTGAATTGATCTGTTCTCTATCAAACAGGCTACATTTCTTGACAAGCACATCCTAATATCAACTTGCACACACAGATGTTGTATTATAAGTGTACAAATACATGAGAGCAACATTTTCACCCACTGATTCCTTAATAACTAAGTTATAAAGAAACTGCAAGACTGTTGGATAATTCTCTTATTTGTGTGCTTTGAATACTCAGCTGTTTGGTTTCTCGTGTGTGAGCATAGATCTCACAGAACAAGTTGGTCCGGTTTGGGTTGGGTTGGGCTTGAACCCAAGGACAGATGTTGGCCAGCAGCCACTCCAACAGCATGTTTGGTTGACCTGAAGGATCGAGCCCTGCAGTGATTTCAACTCAGTGTAGTGCAGAGGATCTGAAACACATGACACTCAGAGTACCTCAGAGACCACCTTTGGAGAGATTTGGGAGTTTGAGCTCACCTGACTGGAGCCAGTGTTACAGAGGTTCAGTACCAACATGGGGATCTTTGTCGTTCTGGATTCTCAGTTTACAATGATATAAAAATTAAAACAGCAGGAACCTGCAAATGCTGGGCATTTAAAAAAAGAAATCCTGTTCATCTACTAGTCACCCACTAATTGTTTCCATGTTTTCTGGTTGTAGCTCTCCATCCTTGACTCCTACATTTTTAGAGGACCACAATGGAAATGAGCCTGGGACTTGTTTCATCCTTGACATGTTGCATGTAATATATTCTTGTTAGACATCTATGAAAAATACATACAAATTAGAGTGGACTACACCGTATAAACCATGACCACATACCAGGATGTAAATGATTTTATAAGCTCTATCCTGTGAAAACAAGAGTGTGTTCATTTGGGAGTTTGACTAATTTAAACCCAGTGCTAAAATGGGACCTTATACTGTGAGTGAGGATTAAGGAGTTGGTTACATCACAGAGAAAATGGAGGTGTGCAGCCTGTTTCCTGCAGCTTCTTCTTACATTGGTTCCATCAGTATTTCAAACTGATCTGCTGTCAACAAACACCAAAAATTTGGAAATAGATTTGTGTCCTTATTGGTGTCAGCAGTCTCAATCTGTGTGTAAATGTGTGATTTGTGAGTATAAAACACCTTCCAACAATACAAAGTAGATTTGTAAATTCACAAAATATATTTTAAAATATAGAATGGGTCTGCAAATACACAAGTTCCACAAAGAATCTTTTTTTTTTAATCTATGGAATTTGTGTTTGCAGCCATTTTAAATTAGCTCAAGATTTTATGGATTTACTTTTTTATATTTGTGGAATGTGTAAAAAAACAAAACCTAATACTTTTGTGGAATGTTTATTTTATGTGAAGTATTTTCCTATTTAATCACTTAAGTGTTTTATATATAAAAACTACAAATTTGCAGGTTGTTTTCATTAACAGTAGTCGTGCTTAGCTCACTGAAAAACATTTCCTGTGGCTACTTCATAATAAAAGTCAACTTCTTTTGCCAGTTACGCTTTTATTGTGAAGCTGCAGCAGTAGCAAATGTTTGTTTGCAATAGCAGGAACTTAATACAGCGCTCTACAGGTATAAGCATCATATATCAATATCATTTCTTGATCTTGTCCGGTGTTGTCACAAGTTAAATGACCAGTAGGAAAATTTCCTGACTGTGGCATCCCTAGTAGCCACAATAGACTAATTTTAGCAATGACGGAAAAAATTCTTACTTATCCCCTTTAAAAGACAAACTTCAGAAAAAAAAACAAAAAAAAAAAACAGCCATAACAATTTTTTTATTTTCTTTTATTTATCGTTTACAATTTTTGTAGGTGTTTATTCATTATTGTCAATCCTTTTGGCAAACATTAGTGCTCACTGTGTTCTGTACAGTCCAGTCCCACAATGTAGATTTAATTTTTCGGGAAGGGTGGAATGAGGCAAGAGCAAAGCGGGGTCCAGGCGTTTACAATTTGTCCAGGTAGTTGTCCAGTGCTGGAATACCTTCCTTGAGACCCTTACGTTTGCGTGTTTCCGTGACGACGACACCAGGCTTGGTTGCGGGGTCGAATGGGTCTCCGGGGAGGATCTGCCAATGGTCGAACACACACTGTGGGAAGGCCTGGCCACCAGTGTTGGAACGAAGGTCAGCTGTGAAACCTGGGAACGGGCAGTGCAAAGTATTTTTAATACAGTTTCTATTACACTGTAGGTAAAAGGGCTGCAATGAGCCATAGTGGAGCGATCACAAATGTGAGAGTGAACATTTGTTTTCCTTTCTGTTTGATAGATACGTGCTTTCAGTATCATATAGTAGCTTAAACTACGTACTCTGGGTTTGTAGGGCACTAAAAAAATGCATTGTGTGAACAACCCTTTGGTTTTAAACAGACGAAAAACAGCCACAATAAGCTCATTACTTGCCCCTGGTGGAAAAACAATTATCTTCTGCCGTTCAAAGTATCTCTTGTTTTTAGTTTAGGTAGCTAAGTACTTGATGCAGTGAAAAAAAAGGTCTCTTGGGTTTCAGTAACATTATGCCTGGCCCTTGTTACAAACTTAGACCAATTTCTACAATCCAACTGGACATTGACACAACAAAGAACAAAAGGATGGCAAGTTGTGTTACTATTATTTCTGCTGCGATCATGCTACGTCTGATAAAATCTGCATTAACTAAAGGAGTGTGAGTATTGTACACTTGACTGCTTAAGACTACATATCCAAATCAGGTGACAAAATGACTTACCAAATGACTCCATGACAGGCAGGTAAGCCTTGGTGACGCGCATGGGTGTTCCTGCAACAGTGAGCTCATCAAACACGTGGCCACGCCTCTTGTTTAGCACACCAAAGATTCCACCCATAGCAGCTTCAGGACACTGAAGTAGAAAGAAAAGACTGAGTCATACAGGCATCACTCGCACTTTTGAAAGGACATGCAAGTCAAGGATGGAAATAACAATTCTGGTAAACACAGGTCAA